AGCTTGCAGGGATGTTTTGTTTTCATAACTGTTGAAGCTGAAAATCCTGATATTACATGTACAAATGGACTTAATTTCAAATTGGTGTATATATTAAAAAAAATACTAAAGTGTAGGTTACTATTCATGTTGTCGGAGTCTGTGGCTTAGGCGTTGTGAACGCGCTTCCTAATGCCGGGGTGCTGGGTTCGATCCCAGCTGCGGGCCTTGCGCCTTGCGTTGGTTTCGACAGTGGTATCAAGAAGTCGACCGTCTAGTAAGACTGGTAAACTGCTTGACTTAAAATGTGCCTATAAAAACCACAACAGCAACAACAAACACATGCTTTAAAAAACATTTAACATGTTTGTGTTGGTTCTGCAACGTCCTGTAAAGGATACGAAACTAACTTTTAACTGTTCATGTTCGCATTAAAATAGGTAGGAGTTAATTACATAAGCGAAGGAAGGAAGATGGAATTGATGATCTTTGTCTTCGTATTTTTTATAAAACGGTCCTGGTGCTCACCACAAAGCCGTGGCTAGACGCTCACCTGGCGATCCGGAGGTCGTGGATTCAGATCCTGCCGAAGCCTAACTCCCCCCCCCCCCTCCCGCCTAAAGAAATGACCCTTGGCTTCCAGCTTTAAATGGGAACCAGTTAAAGTCCCGGGAAGTGAAGGCGTATTTTGTGATGTTGACCATATCCCCCACCGAGTACCTACTGGTCTATAAAATATAGGTTTAGCCCTATATGCCCAGTACCTTAGCAAACAGAATATTGTCACAGAAAACTGAAATATTTTCGCCATATTAAGTGTCGCGGCGGGTTGAAAAGAATGGTAGTAGAAGGCTTAGTACCAGGAAGGAGGGGTAGGGGCCGACCAGCACGAAGATGGGCATCAAAGATAAGTGACATCTTGGGTAGGAAACTGCACTAGGCGGAAGATCTGATGGTGAACTCTAATGTGGGGTAAGAGTCAGCGAACCTGCTAGCTTGAGGGTGTGTCAATCACATTCTACAATAGAGAAGCTCCAAAGACTTTCTTTAGTCAAAATCTAAAGTAAGGAATAAGAACAAATGACATTACATGCATATGATATGTTCGCCTGTGAATAGATTTAGTTCCGAGAGACGCGTACAGGAACAAAACTAAAGTGTTTACAACCAGTGGGCTACTAAAACAAATAATGTCTACACTTGAACGTCGTAGAAAGAAACGGAACAGAAGTGAGTTTTTCCGGAGTACGATAATGTTCATTTCCCTCTTATAATCAAGAAACCAAAAATCAGCGATGAACAATGTTGATTTGTAGAAGGAAAAGGTACAAACAATGCCATATACATCCTAAGGACATTGTAAAAAAAAAAAAGCTACAGAAGTATAGACTGATTTGTACGTATGCTTCATAGACTATTCAAAAACATTTGACTGTGTGAAGCATGAAGAGGTAATCAAACTGTTGGAAAAATTAAACATTGATGGACAAGTTCTACGAATAATAAAGAATATGTATAGGCAGCAAACAGCAGCTATAAGAATTAACAACTGTACGACAAGGGGATGTGTACTATCGCCTGATTTGTTTTTAATATACAGTGAATATATAATGAGATTTTCAATTGATATGCCCGGAATTGTGGTTGGTGGGCACAATATAAACAATTTACGTTATGCTGATGACAGTATTGATAGCAACAAGTCAGAAAGAATTACAGGAAATGATAGACATTGTGGTGTTAGAAAGTGGAAGAATGGGCCTCAGTTTGAATAATGGGAAGACAGAAGTAATGGTGGTATCAAAGAAACGAATTATTCCTAAATGTGTAATAAAAGTAAATGGTGTTATTTTAGGACAAGTACAGACATTTAAGTATCTGGGCATATGGATAACATCATATGAAAGATTCATAACTGAGATAAGAAACAGAATAGGACAGGCAAAAACTGCATTTTATAAAATGAATAATATCTTGTGCAATGTATCCTTGTCATTGAGAGTTAGAAAAAGAATTCTTGCTTGCTACATACATCTAGTTTTAACATATGGCTCTGAATCCTAGGCAATCGGTAGGCAGGCCAAACAATTTCTTGAGGCCTCAGAGATGTGGTTTTACAGAAGAATGCTTAGAATACCTTGGACAGCAAAAAAGAGCAACCAAGAGGTTTTGAAAGAGGCGGGAGCCCGAAGACAACGTATCACAGACATCAGAAGGAGACAGTCATCATTTTTCGGCCATGTTTTGAGAGGAGGGAAAATAGAACATTGTGTGATCACTGGAAAGATCTGTGGAAGGAGGGATAGAGGAAGACAACGAGAGAAGATGCTTGACAGTCTTGTTGCATGGCATAAAGGTGTGTCGGCACACGAACTGATACATGCTGCAGGAGATCGCAGATTATGGAGAGGCATGATCGCCCACACCAGTAGGCAATGCACATGTTGATGATGATGATGAATCAAGAAACCACACTGAAAGCAACGAAGGAATACCCACCAAGGAACAAAACTTAATTTGAATATGAAAACTATTCCAAAATTACAAGTATTTCATTATTCCTCGTCCTGTTTTTATTTCCTTAAAAAACCCGACACCTTACTTCTGCTTTTGAACTGTCAATTTCAGACGGCCTTCCATTTGGGCGCGGAGAGTCACAGTGCGTGGCAGCCGTTCACAGTAAGTGCACATTTATTCAGTACTGTCAACGTATTCTTTCATGAGCTACATCACGTGCAATGCCGCTAAACATAGATGGTCATTATTCGCTACCACACACGATCGACATAATCATGGACAAGGCCAGCCAGTCTGTGCCGCCACATCCATATGGCCAAACCATTCAGTTATCTATCTCTTTTCCCGTTTCTCTGTTTTCATTAATGTTGACAGTTGCCCAAAGTTTTGGTGTTTGTTCCTTGTCATAATATCAATGGCCAGTGCTGAAAATGTCCTGTCATCCTCCAGTGACTTTGCAATGTCAGGTGTGACCCGGTACGGACCTTTTCTTTTTCACACCTCTCGTCCTTTACCTGCACTTATCAACACATTTTCACACATTTTTTAAATGTTAAAAATGCAAAGTTTTTGCGAAGTCGTCATTCCTCTCAATGATGACACACTGTGTGGTCTTCACCCTTTGCAAGTCCTTTCCTACTCTTTTCCTGAACATATCCAAAATCACCGACTGACTACGTCTAACTTCTCAATTTACGGATTTCGTCTATTTCAGGGAGGGCTGCGTTTTTTCCCCTATCATTCCAAGACATTCTGTGTATTATTCTCAGAACCACACACCCCCCCCCCCCCCCGCCCTCAGTAGATGTTTTTCATCGTGTATGTTTATTGGCCTATGCCTCACATGCATTTACAGCACATTTTCACTCTTTTTATAAGTTTTTATTAAGGTCACTTTTGTTTGTATGTCTGGTTCAAATGTTGCGTTCGATTTTTTCTTACCGCATTTGATATCTTTGGGGGTTTGTTTTTTAATTCTTCTTGTATACCTTCCTTTGTATTCCGTATTACAAAGTGTCATTCCTAACTCAATATTTTTTATTATTTCTTTTATCCTCAAGTAGACAGTCGTCAACCATTTCACATTATACTTTCTCAGTCTTCCTCTGATGCCTTCCTAGTATCATGTTTCTGTCTCCAGTTGTCTTATATTTTTAGATCACACCATATTTACTTTGCCCTGTAGATTCCAGTGAAAAGGCTTTCTAACAAAACTACTTACAGATTCTTCAGTAGCTGTCTTTTCCAAGGACACCGTCCCGTTATAAACTCTCGATTCCTTGAAATTTGCCATTTGCCAGTAAATGAACCTTTTTGCCTCAAAACCATATGCATACAATGTGCTAAAATGACATGACAACTGTTGCAATATATCCAGTAATAATAAAAGCTTTCTGTGGTCAAATGGGCAGTGCAGCAAGACAGACAGAGAATCCACACATTGAAAGATTATTACAACCGGGGTGGGTATCGGGTGGCGGAGGGGGTTAATAAGAGGTTCTGGACGACATTCAACACTGAAGGGAGCATAGGTGAAATTTTAATCAGGTTGCAGCTGGTACTCTTCGTTGGCTACCAATGAAGTAGACGGAGCACTTGTGGGAATGTCCCGAGTGCCGTTATTTCATTTCTTCATCTATTTATCCAGTAATAGACAATGATGTGGGGGGGGGGGGGGGACAGTATGCTCGCGAGTAGGGCATATTACACTACATTTACGTTTTGACTGCTCTCTAACAAGCATGTCGTAAAAGGCGACTAATTAGGCATTTTTTTCAAAGTCGTAATGCCCCTGCCTCAAGGGCGAAGTACCAGCAGTCTGGAAACAAATAACGCAGATCTGTTACAAAAAATGTTACCGACTTTACATGGTAACCTTGTTATGGTGGCTCGACCTCAGAGCAAAAGTATTGGAGTACCCACTAAAGACTTACTGAATCAAAAGCGTCATTTAAAAAAAAAAAGGTTGGACCTGTACCCGCGGCCTTCCGATCCGCTAGCGAGCGTCTAGCCGCTAGACCACGGTGACTGCTATATGTGTGTGTGAGTTTAGGGAAGTGGCCGCTATGGTGTAGTGGCTAGATGTTCGCCTGCGGATCTGGAGGTCGTCGGTTCAAGTAATCAAGCCCCCCCCCCTCCCCCGTGTGGGTTCCGGGGCCCTGGGGAAAACAAGAATAGACCCACTGCCTCCCCAAAAGAATGTCGTAAGAGTCGACTAACTGGGGAGCTTCCTTTGAAGTCGGAGTGCATCTGCCGGAGAGGCAAGGAACCAACAGTCTGTATTCAAGAGAATGTGATCTATAAAACTGATGCACACGCAACACTCAGGTTCTGGAGCAGGACTGCAGTTCAGTAGTGGACGAGCAGCCAGAACCTTACGCCAGAGTGTAAAGCTAGTGAACGCGAAGAAGAAGAAAAGAAATAATCTAGTAATCCTGGTAGTGATGACGTTACCTGAGCTCAGGAACTAAAATAACGCTTTTTTTTAAAATGTTATTTTGCAGGTCAAGGGGAGATTATCCGACAGATGAGAAACATGATGATAAAAGTGATGTTGGCCAAGAATCAGAGAAGGTATTAAACTGCCAACATCTTCTAGAAATGTTGTGCCATAATTATAACTTCTTTTGAAGGTTGAACCAAGTATCTGGGATCTACCTTGAAGGTAGGTAGGTAGGTAGTTGTACCCCACCAGGACATCACACAAGCGATAAACACCCGATGACACAAAATGCCACCATGCGGATGGGGATCACCCGTGGAGAGGTCCCAGAAACCCCTTTCAGCCGTTTAGACCATACCAATGTCTATGCTATATCTATGGCTAGGTCATATCTATGGCTAGGTCATATTTATGGTCCGGCTATATTCAGGGCCTCCGGCAAAAGCCAGGGTGGGGCTTCAAAATTACAAAAATTGCATCCCACAAGGGAACGACTTCAACATTTCAATCTTGTTGGTCTCCCGTCCAGATTGAGATGTTTTAGATCTTAGAGTGCAATTGGAAACCTTGATGTAGCAGGCTAGAGGGGGACCAATAGATCTATGTATCGAGTAAACAACGCTAACCCACCTACATACGGGACTACAGGTTACTTCATAACCGGTTTGTGATGCCTCAATATGTAAGTGCTCTCGAGATATGGCATCCGCCACCAGTGCTGCAGGTCCCTGGTTCAAGCCCTGGGATTTTTTTCACGTGGACTTCTAATAATTTTCCCTGGTCTCTAGGTAGTAACATCGGACGCCCATGTGTACTGTTGCGTACATAAAATATACTTTGACAGTTGGAAATCAAAAAGATTAGCTTAATGGCGCTCCCCGTGCAAAATGTGGAGCACCTACGACCTTCCGGTTTGTAGGCAAGCGTCTAGCCGCTACACCACGGTGGCTGCTATATGTGTGTGTGTGAGTTTGGGGGAGTGGCCGTCATGGTGTAGTGACTAGATGTTCGACTGCGGATCTGAAAGTCGTAAGTTGAAATCCACATGGTGCATGATTTGTTTCCGAACATGACGTTGGCTTACACATTGACCCAGCCTTAAATGAGTACCATTAAAGTCATGGGAAGTAAAGGCGACGGTGTAATGCTGTCTATATCACAATCGATGGCTGATTGGTCTATTAAAAAGTGAGTCGTGCCTGATATGCCTTATACCCAACTTTCGTAAAAAGATATCTTTCCTTGTTTATATATATATATATATATATATATATATATATATATATATATATATATATATGAGAGAGAGAGAGAGAGAGAGAGAGAGAGAGAGAGAGAGAGAGAGAGAGAGAGAGAGAGAGAGTTCAATAATTTTCAGAATTCTATATAGCAACCTCTGTTTTTGTTTGCCAACAGCAGCTTCGTCTTATTTCAACGGTGGCGTCGCCTGCAAGGGAATGCTACAGCCCTGTGTGTAGGGAGATGGGCTACTGGGAGTCAGAGAGACAACACAGCTTGGACGATGAGCTGCCTGCTCACCCTGACGCCGGCAATAATCTGCAGTGTTTTCTAGAAGCTAACAGCCCCCAACCATGCAGGCCACTTGGCCATGAATTGAATACTAGCCAGATAAACCATACATCTGCCAACAACAAAGTCTCATACGACAGTTTTCCTTTCATCGAAAGAGGTGTTAACTTTAGTTCGTCCTACAAAGCTCAGCCTAGCGACGGTGAGATGGAGCACTCTTTCACTAGAAGAAGGGACACACCTCAGGATAAGCTGAGACAGTCCAAGACGAATCATAAAAATCATTACAACGCAAGAAACGTCGTCCAGTCAGAGGTGCACTGTCTTCTGAAAGAAAACAACAAATACACAACAGCAGACACAGACGACACGATCTCCTGGCACGATATCGGAAATTCCCTGGACAGAACTTTTTTCTGGGTGTTCTTTTTAGTTACCAATACGGTCACAGTTGTCATTCTTGTTCTTTTTGTCAAAAGTGATCCATAATTTGATAAGTTTAGTCTGTTTTCAATCCTAATTGCATGCAAGAGAATCAGCAGTCAACTTTCGCTCGAATTATAACAGTGATTAATGTGTTATTTCCATGGCTATGTGATATGAAATAACAAGCTAGCTTTTGCAGACAAAACTGTCACCCACAAATAGCAATAAGGGATGATGAAGTTAGAAACGTCACAATTTTTGAATGTCTAGGCTCTGCAATAAACAACACTGGAGACTGCTCAACAGGAGTCAAAAATAGGATGGCCATAGCAATGCAAAGACTAAGCAGAATTGATAGTCTTTGGGTAAGCACCAGCAAGGGAATTTAAAAAAACATTTTGAGAGCATCTTCCCTGTTGAAGAGACATTTTTGAGTGATGGACTATTTCGCAGTCCCTAAGACGAAAAATATGGGCTTTGGAGTTGAAATGCTATGGAAAGATTTTCAGAATATCATGGACAAAGAAAACAAGTAGATCCTACGATCTAAAGATCAAGGATGATTGGCTAGTCAACAGCAGTAATACTTGCTTGTCAACAGCAGTAGTGCTGGCTAGTCAACAGCAGTAGTACTGGCTAGTAAACTGTAATATTCGGCCATATTAAACGCCATGACGGACTGGAAAATAATAGAAGACTGCACGGAGGGCAAGGGCCGACCAGCATGACGATGGGTACAGGATATAAATGACACTTTAGGTAGGAAAGTGCTCCAGGTAGTAAAGCTGGCGAGAGACCGAGTTTCTTTCAGGCAGACTCTAGTGACAGCGACGTTCTCCAAAGGAACTGCTTCAGGATGATGAAGACTTTGTGTTCAGCAAATCTTACTAGGAATCTGCACATAACTTGCTCTAGAATGCGGATATACCTGGACTTCGGTTTTGTGATGATTTGTTTTAGTGATGCTTTACTTATGTACTAGCTAGTCAGTTAGTCCAGGTTCTAGTATCATTACTGTAGAAGGTTCGCCTCATCATTGCCCCGCTCCTGTGCCAATGGAATGGTATTCACTGTCCCAAGTGAAGAATGTGTCAATCACAGCAATATCTTGAAGCTTGCACACATAATAGTAAAAGATGTGTCAACACTAACGGTTCCACGCAAAATGTGCAGCTCACTGGTAGCTCAGATGGCCAGTCAAGATGACTGATATTGCACCCGTGAAAGTACCCGCCATTCTGAACGTAAATAGCTACCTGCCATTTTAGTGCTGTCAACAACACGCCACATGCATAGCAGAAACAAACATTCCATATGAAATCCGCAGCTCACAGTGTTGCACCAAGCACATAAATCATTAGTTGGGCGACGGAGCATTTGAACTTCCAGACCAGACATGTGGAATTTGCATTAGATGAAAACAAAAAATCTTTCAGAGCGTCAGTAGTAATCCAGCTATCGGCCCTGTTGGCAGGAAGTCCCTTTCTACTGATGTACTGTTTGGCTAAATTAGGGCTTGGTTTTAGTCTTTTGCAAACGAGGCATGTTTTTACGATAAATCCCAAAACTGTTTTGTGTGTATGTGTGTGTGTGTGTGTGTGTGTGTGTGTGTGTGTGTGTGTGTGTGTGTGTGTGTGTGACTAATGTGATGTTTTACTTTTGTGTTTGTCCAGTTTGGTGTTTGTTAGCCAGTGCGATGTCATTTTATTTTTCTAGTGTGATGGTTGTTAAGAAACGTGGTGGTTTTCGTTCTGTGACTGTTTCGTTAATGTTGACTTGGTGTCTGCAGTGCTTCACTTTTGTGATGTTTTACTTTTGTTGTAATTAAAAGACACTTCGCACCATCTTAAGGTATATGCATAAATACCTTTCACTCGAGTTACGAATTATGCGACTTACGACTACCCGTATTTTTTACCACTAAAAAATAAAAATAGTAAAGTAAGTTCTTCTTCTTCTTCTGCGTTCGACATCAGTCATGCTAAACATTGAGTCCCGTCTGGGTCACAGATAGGATTGAGACCATATCGGTAGTGCGTAGATTTCCGATTTTTAGTCCCGTGCCAAGTAGGCTGACATCTTCCGACTTCGACGGTTGAGGTTTATTTTCACGATTCCCCCTCCAATAGGCTGATTGCCTTCCAGGGCTTATGAGCTCTGCCTACCCACATTTTCTGTCGGGCTTTGTTGCCCGTAAAGTAAGTAATAGACCCATTTTTTACGCCTTTAGGCGCATCGGGCATATGGTAAGAGCACCCATATTTTTACAGACCAATTGACACTAGGTGGGTAATGTGGTCAGCATTACGCCGGCTGTATTAACTTTCTCATGACGTACATCCTGGTACCCATTTAAGCTGGGTCGACCTGCAACGCCCCATACTATGATAAAAATCAATGCAGTCAGCTGTGGGTTTCGATCGCGGCACGTTTGAATTACGAGTCGGACTCACAACACTTGAGCCACGGACGCCGCAAGAATAAAAATAATAGTAGGAAAAAAAAAAGGAATGATAACCACTGGTAAGGTAAAAAGGTTCCCACAATTAATGCAATTGAATACATATTATGTATTTTTCACATTATGTACAATCATTATATGTACTCAGATTGAATGTTTGTGTTTTGTGTACAGTTTGTATACCCGTTCACATTACAATAGTGTTGAAAGATATAAATTCGACTAACGACTAATTCGACTTACGACCTGTTAGACTAGACGGAACGGAGCTCAGTCGTAACTCGAATAGACCCTGTACGGTGCTAAAAAAATATTTTATAAACCAATCAACACTTGACTTTTGATACTGTCAATATCATACGAGCTGCGTATACTTCACTGAATAAATCCGCAGCTCACAGTGTCACGCCATGCACTCAGTTCAGTAGCTGGACGACAAAACTATATTCTTTCAGTCTAAAAATGGAGGAAAATTCAACGGCCACATGTGTCAGAAGCAAAAATTTACCACTACTAAAGACAGTAAAAGTGTCTAATCTCAATTGTTTTAAATACTTTTTGAATCCAGGGTACAATGCCAACATTTAAAATATTGATGCAAAATTTCTAAAATCTACGAATTCCACGAGCGTGTTACCAGAACTACTGTTTTGCTTTGGCTTGGCATGCTTTGCGGGGAAAAAAGTCGTCACGTTCAACTAGCATCCTTAAAGGGGAAGTTTTAGGTTATAATTGTGGCTAGGTTATGTGAGCCATATAAAATGCCTTAGCAACGCTCGTCACCAAGTGTCCTGAAAAAGATTCTTGCAGTGTTGATGCGATCGGAGGAGACAGGCCTTAATACTGTCCGACACCGGCGACTAAGTCGTCTACCAGCCAGCCAGTCGCTGAGGAGGCTCAAGTTTGCTCGACAGCGGTAAGATGAGTACATGAGTACGAAAATACTAACTTCGGTTGGGTATAAACTGGGAAATCCTCAAGGCGTGTGTGCTAAGATTCACCTAAACATACATAGCAGCATTCCAGGGTGAATAGTGACAGTCATATGCTGGTTGATAAAGATATAATGTTCATACATCCCGTGTTCCTCTCATGCCTGGCTATGCCAGTTTCTTACTCCTAATTGTCGCATTCTTAACAGTTATGTGTACAAAATCCCTCGGCGGTACTCTCTCACTCTCCGTCTCTCTCTATGAATGCATGTTCGTGGATGTATGTATGCATATGTAGCTGTGTAAGTATATGGGTATATGTGTGTGTGTATTTAGGTATGTATGCAAGAATTACGTATGTGTGTAAAGATGTGAGTGTATGTATAGATGTGTGTATATATGCATGCGAGTGTATATGTGTGGTTGTGGGTGTCTGTATATGTGATTGTGTGTGTGTGTATGCATGCATGTGTGTGTGTATATGTATGGAATGTGAGTGTGCATGTATGTCTATGTATGTATGTGTGTGTGTTTTAAGTTTGTGTGTGTATGTCTGCGTATTAATGTGTGTGTTTTTTGTTTGTATATGTATGTGGATGCGTGTATGTATGTTTTACTTAAGTCTGTGTATGAGTGTGCATGTATGACAATGTACTGACTGACTTTCTACCCCACCAGGACATCACATGGATGAGGATCGCCGTGGAGAGGTCCCAGAAACCGCGTTCAGACAATTAGCCATATTTATGGCCTGCCTATATTGCGGCTCCTGGCAAAAGCCAGGTTAGGGCTTCAAATAACAAAAAATTTCGTCCTGAAAAGGACAAAACACCTATTGCTAGGTGGGCTGTCATAATGATTTTTATGAGAATGTAAGATTATGTGTACGTATGTGTGTGTTGAGTGTGTAAGATTGTGCACACATGATGTGTGTATGCATCATTCTATAATGCATATTTCTTTATTATATCCATAACATGCATTATTGATAACAGGCATTGGTAATCTGAAAAATGAGTGATTAGAAGGACCGAATGTCAGACGAGCCTGCGTGCCCAATTTGCAACCCTTTGTTTGTTCGTTCGTTCGTTCTCTCGCTGTCCGTCCGTTCTCTCTCTGTCCGTCTATAAGGGGACACAAATCTGTCTTCCAGGTTCACTGAACAGCGGATCAATGTCCCTGGTGCTCTACCCTGCTGTTCCGGGAATTGCCCATCTGTTGAAGCTGGGTCCTGGTATAGTCTTGAGCAGCGGTTCTCAACGTGTGGGTCGCAACCCCTCTGTGGGTCGAAAGAGCCTTTCACAGGGGTTGCATAGAGCCACCGAAGAACACGTATTCGCAGAAGTTATGAAGTAGCAACGAAAATAATTAATGGTTGGGGAGGGGGTCATCACAACAGGAGAAACTGTACTTAAGGGTCGCGGCACTAGGAACGTTGAGAAACATTGGTCTAGAGCAAGACTTTTAAAAGAACCAAGTGATGACCGTAAATCTGCAACCATGATCAGACAGCAAGAACAGTGTGTTTGAAAATGCGTGCCCTGACAAGAGCATTATGCGGGAAGCCAAAGAAGAATAGTAAACAGGAAACCAGCATTTAAAATTCTGTCATCAGCCCTTACATGCTTTGTGATTTACTGAGGAAAGAGGATCGAGCATTTCTGACGGGTTGGCTCGATGTTCAATGCGGATAATTGTCGAATAACCAACCAACCAACCAACCATGTGGAGTCTTATCTACCGAGACAGCAACAAAAGTTTATTACTGAACAGAGCGCATGGTCATATTGCAGGTCCTTTGCAAAACGTGGCTGTCATCACGGTCTGCCTGTAGGAAACTTTCTTCTGCTCACCCGCCGTATGCACTTTTCGGTTAGTTTTACGTTAGTATCCCCAGAGAAAGTAGGTAGCGTTTCACTGACAAGTTTGTTGGGTTGGTCTACTTTTCTGCAGATTACAGGTAATCCGCTCTGTTGTTTGCTTTCTGTGTTGTCTTGCATTACCGTTTTTCTTCCGAAAAAGAGAATGATTATGACATAGGTTGCAGCTCCCTCTGGGGGGGGGGGGGGTTGTGTGTTAGGCCCAGTTTGTCCATGTTTTTTTTAAATGTTAAAAGCGCTTGCGTGCTGAAATAAAGAACACGCGATAATAACGGCTTTGCGGAGAATCCCCCCCCCCCGTAACCTTGTGCCAAGACGCGTTGCTCAAGGTCGACCAATCAGAAGTGAGCTAGTGTGTAGCGCTGTGTAAAAAGCGCAAGCAATGTTAGTTTTACCCACATTCCTACTCAATGTGTCATTTATATCCTGTTCCCATATTTCCTGGTATCATGCCGTCCGCTATTATTCTTTCCAGTCCCCTGTGGCGTTTGATTTGGCATAAATATGTCAGTTTCCGAAACAGAAAGCTGTCAACTAGCCAATCTTCCTTAATGTCCAGATCTTTGAGAATATAGATAAACGAAAGTAATCCGAGAAGATGTTGCTTTGTTCAATACAAACCATAGACATGATTATTTTTATCCAACGAGTACTGCTCTGAGGTCGACATAGTTTCATCAGATGGGTTCTAGCCAATGTTCACAATGTCAACGGGTTAATATGAGAAGTAAACCACGAGGATTAGAACTGGATATGTCATCTTATATTCTAAAGGGCTAGAATATGAGAAAACAACAGTACTACAGACCCTAACGTCAGAAAATATGTCATGGCTAGAGTAACCATCCAATATTGAGTTGAAAACAGGACATCCCGTTAATATTTTGAGCTGAATATGAACATTCAACCAACATTTTGAGCTGAATAGGAACATTCAACCAACATTTTGAGCTGAATATGAACATTCAACCAACATTTTGAGCTGAATAGGAACATTCAACCATAATTTGGAGCTGAATAGGAACATTCAACCATAATTTTGAGCTGAATATGAACATTCAACCAACATTTTGAGCTGAATATGAACATTCAACCAACATTTTGAGCTGAATATGAACATTCAACCAACATTTTGAGCTGAATAGGAACATTCAACCAACATTTTGAGCTGAATATGAACATTCAACCAACATTTTGAGCTGAATAGGAACATTCAACCATAATTTTGAGCTGAATAGGTACATCCCACTAATACTTTGAGCTGAGCTGGGGACATCCCAGTAATATTTTGAGCTGCGTGGGGGACATTCCACAAATATTTTGAGCTGCGGGGGGGGGGGGGGGGGGGATATTCCACTAATTTTTTTTTAGCTGAGTGGCGGGACGTCCAAGTAATATTTTGAGCTGAGTGGGGGACATCCCACTAATACTTTGTCATATCCGGAGCGGGTCAGTCTTGCACCACTCCTTTTTTAGGTCCTTGGTGTGAAAGGGTTTAATTACTCGCTGGGTGATAGTATTTAAACCTAACTTACTATCGCCAAGAAACAAATGAAACCATTTGCTCGTTAATTGTACTGTAAAAATTTTATCAGGCATTAAAAGTATCCAAAATTGTTAGAAATAAAAAAAGTCTACAGATATAACTATAAATGTGTGTTTTATTCTCGGGCTTATTCTTAGACTTTTATACTTATACAACGGGACAGTCTGTGTTTTTTTTTTTTTTTGGGAGGGGGGGGGGGGAGTACCGACGGAACGGTCGGGTCATACTAAAATAACCGGAACATTTCAGGTGAAACTGGACGTATGGTCACCCTACCTATGGCACTATGTGTAGCTGTACCTGTTCAACCTATTACATTCTAGCTGCATTTGAATATTATATCTTTAGAAGTTGCTTGAATGGTTTCTTCTTCTTCTCCTGCCTTTCTATCCCCAAATGGAGCATAGGCCCTCAACCAACTCACGCAAAGTCGTTCTATCCTTCGCCATTACATGGAACTCTCCCCATGTCCTCCTCATCTTTCTAACTTCATTCTCCAACTCTCTTCTCCATGTGTTTTTGGCCTTCCTTTATTCTTATGCCTCTATGGGTTCCAATGCCCATTGTTCTCCCTATATCATAGAGAGTTATAACATTACTTCTGGAGGTTTTCCTAGCTGAGAGGAGGTACATCAACGATCCGGACTCCTTACGGCTTTCTCCACACCGTGTCATACTTCTTCTATTTGAAGAGCCTCCCCTCATCTTGGTTAATTTTGAAGTATTAGCTGGCGAGAATATGTTTTATAGCTAGCTTTCGAGTGTTCCTCGCGAGATGTGATATATAGTCTATAATACCTGTCAATCACACATATGTTAACTATTTATGTAGTCATGAAGTGGTATTTTTCAGTAATTATTGATCAAAGGACTTGTTTTGTAATGTTCATCCGATTCTGTGACATTACGATATAATAAAATTATATATTAACTGCACTTTTCTCTGTTGTGAATTACAAACTTAATATTTCTGTCAGTGCTTTGAAAAGAAATTATGTGCTGTCTCCGCGGTGAAGATTGACTATGGTATACCCACTGTTGTGTTCGGAAATATGTTGTTCGTCCATCATTAGTGGTGAAGAGCACTTTGCATCAAAACTTAATAATGATCAAATATTGTGAATACGAAAATGACTGGTGAGTCCAATTCGAGCGCTGAAATTTCTAGAGCATTGTGGACAACAGATGGAAACGACGGATGAAAAGGGATTTGGCACACGGTTCTTTCTGGTCTGCCTCCGCTTCTCTTCCAGTGCAATCTTAGCTGCCTGGCATGTTTTTGGAAATATAAAATAATATCTTTGGAAATATTAGGTAAAGTATTTGGAAATATTAGGTAAAGTATTTGGAAATATTAGGTAAAGTATTTGGAAATATTAGGTAAAGTATTTGGAAATATTAGGTAATGTGAAAATAGTACGTAATGTATTTGGAATTATAACCTAATGTCGTTGGAAATATTACGTAGTGACGTCCTAATCTCTGTCTGTGTGTATGGGGTTTCAAAGTTGGATAAATTCTGTCTCCCACTGTGCATTCTTCTTCTTAGTCTTCTTCGCGTTCACCGGTTGTAAACTACGGTGGAAAATGTTGATGTTTGTCCACCTCTGAACTAAGGTCTCGTTCCAGAACCTGAGTAGTGAGTGCACATCCGTTTTACAGACCGGGCATACTTGTATGCAAACTGTTGGTTTCTTGCCTTTCATGCAGATACAATCCGACTTTGAAGGAAACCCCTAATTAGTCACCTCTTACGACATGCTTCTCGGGGAATCAGTAGGTGTATTTTTTGTTTCCCCCACAATCAGTAACCCAGAACCCACTCTAAAAGACACTCTACAACAGAGGTTCTCAACCTTCCTAATGCCACGACTCTTTGATAAAGTTCATCATGTTGTGGTAACCCCAAACCATACAATTATTTTGTTACTACTTGATAACTTCGGGAAACATGAGTTTTATTAATACACACCATTCTTCCTTTTAAGGATGCAATTTTTCGTTATTTGAAGCCCTGCGCTGGCTCTTGCTGGGGGCCGCAATATAGCCTGGCCAAAAATATGGCCTAAAGTCTGAACGCGGTTTCTAGGACCTCTCCACGGTGATCCTCACCCACATGGTGGCATTTTGTGTCATCGGGTGTTTATCGCTTGTGTGATGTCCTGGTGGGGTAGAAGGTCAGTCAGTCAGTCAGTCATTCAAAGCAGGCGGCAACGAACCGCCAGACACGGAGTGTTCTGTCCTATGCGTGGCTCTAGGCTGAAGAGGAAAGACTAGCTAACTACTCGCAGATAGACAAAAAGCTTCTTATTACCTAGTCATCCCCTTGTGGAATGCAATTTTTCGTTATTTGAAGCCCTATTCTGGCTCTTGCCAGGGGCGCAATATAGCCCGGCCATAAATATGGTCTAATGGCTGAACGCGGTTTTTGGGACCTCTCCATGGGGGATCCTCATCCACATGGTGGCACTTTGTGTCATCAGGCGTTTATCGCTAGTGTGATGTCCTGGTGGGGGTAAAAGAAGATAGAAGATAGATAGATAAAAGGCACTGACACTGTGAGCTGCGTTTGTTTTTCGTTGGCACAGGAGCGGAGCATGTGTGGGGTGACCCGTTTGCTATGAAGCTGAAACTAGGATTACCAGATAGATAAAAGGCGTCTACAAAAACCCGGACATTGTGTTGACCTCTTCTGTGTGCGGCGGTGACTTTTGAAACCCGCTGTTCGAATGGAAGTTTGATATCGAAACCGTCGACACATGTTCACTTTCTTCAGCAGAATTTTCTTTGTTTCAGCTCACTGTTTACGATAGATTTTGCGTATGATAAGTTTATCAAAATGAAGATCATTTGTTGTCCTGGTTGTGGATCGAATTTCACAACATGGACGGCGGCAACGAAGACGACAAACAAGCAGCCACTAATACTTTCCTGTGGGCACACATTTTGTGAGTTGTGCATCGCGCAGAAGACGAAGACAATTTCTACTGCAGCTTCTCGCCAGGCTCAGATCACATGCCCGACGTGTAAGCATGTTACATTACTGGAAAATGGGGCAAAAGATTTGCCAGTAAATGTTTATCTTTCTGCATATATTGAAATGAATCAAAGGGGCAGACTGATAGAGCACTTGGGGTTGAACCTTGCTCATCTAGTACCAGCTGGTAACAGCAACAGAAGCCAGCGAGCCTCAGTTCCAGAGGTCGAAACCACAGAAGGAGGCAAATGTAAAATGTGTGTGATGAAAAAAGCTACATGTAAATGTGTAGACTGTGATAGTGTATTATGTGCAAGTTGCTTTGAGAAAGTTCACAGTTTGTCCGTGGCCATCAAACATCATGTACCTGTTCCACTATCATCAGTGTGCCAGTTTGTTACCGCTGGGGGTGGAGACGCAGAAGCCAAGTGCGCTGAACATAATCGCATTCTGGAGTATTTTTGTGAAGATGACTCATTGTCCATATGCTCTCGCTGCTACATTGTGGGTAGTCATCAAAACCATTCCATCACATCCATCGAGGACAAGAACAAGTTGGTGCTTGAGGAAATCAACGGTGAACTGCCAACAGCAAGACTTGTTCTCCAACATTTAAATCGGATTGATAAAAAGATTGTTTCAATCCAGCCAAGTCTGAAAACAGAAACCAAATCTTTGATTGAAACTGTCAGTTCTAGCTTTCTAAAATTGCACTCACTTATTCAAGCGAGGGAGATGGAAATTGTTAAAATGATTAATTCCGCGTATAAAGATCAGATTATTTCAATTGACAAACAGAGAGACATGATGGAGAAAACTAGACATGAGCTGGAAGATGCGATTAAAAAATCAAATATACTGTTTGAAAACAGTGCTACATTTCTGGATGGCCACGCATTGTTGGAGATATTAAGGAAAGCTAGATCAATACCATGTATTGTAGAGAAGAGAGAAGTCATGAAGGAAGCCCAGCTGACGTGGCATGAAACAAATCAGGACAATTTGACTGCTATCATCAGTGCCTATGGCAGAATTTCTGGCACCCCACGGATGCCGATTCAGTTTACCACAATTGAAGAATCACCAGAACGTCTGGAGGAAGAAGACAAATTGAGCGTCAACTCTCTTGGATCTGAGGCATCCATCCAGTCTGTGGGAGGTACTGCATCCGTTCCCGGATGTGCATCCAGTGTTGACACGGGGGAGGATGTGGTGGTTGAAGAGACAGATGTTGAACCTAATGTGCCCAGAAACAGCAGACATGTTCCTCGTGAGACCGTCAGCCTCCCTGTTATCAAAGGTCCGGCACAAAAAGTGACCGTCACTCACATCCGCTCCCCTAATGAGTTCTGTGTACAGTTGGCCAGCAGTAAGAGACAGCTGGAGTACTTGTCACACAGTGTCAATGCCTGGTGTCGTAAAAGTAATTCAGCCAAGCATGTTCCTCTGGTGGTCGAGAAGGATATGTTGCTGTTGGCAAGATATACGGCAGACAAGCAATGGTACAGGGCCAGGGTTCTTGGGATAGAGAACACAGGCGATAGAAAAGATAACAGTAACAAAGTAAGTCCAGTCATTTTTATCTTCTTCTTATGCCCTGCGTGCTAGCTACGTTAATTAAACCAGCTGTGCGACGACTGGGTGACAAACTCCTTGTAGTCCGAGTTCACGCTCGGGAGTAGGCAGAGAAGCCACATTTTTCCCAGATTTACGGTATCTATCTTGGACTCAAGGTGAAAGGGGTGTGATATCCATAGGACTGAGCCAAAGGGTTTAGAACTCAAGGTTTCTGGATTCTTTCCCCCCCCCCCCCCCCCAATTCTTCTTCTAATAGTCCATGTAGCATTGGTAGTTTTGTCTATCCTCAACCTTTTGTCTCGTGCACTTTTAACTCTGAGACAGATTATCCTCCATGCGAGGAAGTCAGACTGTCTTCTCTCTCGGTCTCCCTCTGCCTCTGGCCTTCCTTTCCCTTTATCTTTCCCAGTGTCATGATGTACACCAGTTTCCTCCTCCTCATGACATGACCAGAGAACGTAGTCTCCTTCTGATGGGGGCAATCAGTTCTCTTCTTGAGTCAATTTCTTTTAAGACCTTTTCATTACTATTTTTATCTGTCCAGGGTATTCTGATCATTTGTCTATGAAATACATCTCCAACGCTTCTAAATAATTTTTCACTAATCAGTCCAACTGTCTGATTCACTTCTGTATATCAGGAAAGGATTTATTATTTTATATAGCCTATATAAATTGTCTTTCTCATCTCAGCCGACAGAGAAAGACTGCATAGAATATTTATTTTGTAAAATGCTGTCCTTTTTTTATAGCTATATTCTGTCTGATGTTACCAGGGTAACAAAGTACTTAAGCAAACCAATACCACACTTGCTTGAGGATTCCCCCCATCGCCCCCTTTTTTTTGTGTGGGTGTATACTTTACCTTCTCAGTACTCAATAATTGGGTTTATATATCAGAGATGTAGTTTTACAAATGAATTCTTTGCACAGCCAAAACGAGAGCCCATTTTTTAGAAAAAGGTGAGGGCTCAAAGACAGCGTATCCCAAATATAAAAAACAATCATTATTTTTTGGGGGACATTTTATGAGAAGAAGGAAGCTAGAATACGTTTTGACCACTGGAAAGGTCTCTGGAAAAAGAGACAGAAGAAAATACAAGAATGTACTTTACAGTCATTTGTCATGGTATGGAGGGGTGTCAGCACAAAAACTGATGCAATCTGTTGAAGACTGCAGATTGTGGAGAGGCATGATCACCCACAACCCTTAGCAAGGCACATGATGATGATATGTATGTGTGTGTGTGCAAACAGGTTGACCCGGCCATAAGTGGGTACCAGGTAAAGTCCTGGGAAGTCAAGGGGGCCAGCATGATGTGGATCACATCACCCACTAAGTGTCTGTTGGTCTGAAATCTAGTTCTAGCCGTAAATGCCTGATAGGCCTGAAGGTATAGAAAGGAGTCTTTTAGGAAGCTGTGATATCCAAATGAAACCATAATTTTAACATTAATGAGAGAGGCCAAAAATTCAGTACTGAATTACATCCATGATGTCAAAGGGATTGAACAGGATTGAAGGGAATGGAGGAATAAAATGCAAGCTCTGTTTGACATATAAGGGCACAACAGAAAAATGATGATAATGTTGAATCAATTTTGCATGTTGTTAGAAGTGATTAAACAGCATAAGTGGGAAATTGGCTGTCTGGTCCCATTAAAAGAATGAACTAGTCATAAACAAGGCTACTGGAGGCTTAGGTAGAATTGGTTCGCCTAAGGCCATAGAAAAACCCATATTTGCTGAAGTTATCTTCTTCTTCGTGTTCACCGGCTGTAAACTCTGGCGAAAAGTTCTGGTTGTTCGTCCACTCCTGGACTGCAGTCCTGTTCCAGAACCTGAGTGTTGCGTGTGCATCTGTTTGACAGATCTGAATGCAGACTGTTGGTTCCTTGCCTCTCAGGCAGATACACTCCGACTTCGAAGGAAGCTCTCAATTACTTGACTCTTACGGCCTGCTTTTGGGTAGGCAGTGGGTCTATTCTTTTTTTTTCCCATAGTAGGGCCCTGGAACCCACACGGGGGGTTGAAGTTATGAAGTAGCAACAAAAATAATGTAATGGTTGGGGCTCATCAGTACATGAGGAACTTTATTAAAGGGCTGTGGTATTAAGGAGATTGGGAACCACTGCTATTTATGTTGTACTTGAACAGCTGATTTCGTGGCATGCAAAGAACACAGAGATCTGTAATTAACGTAATCCTTGCTGGTTAGACACTCAGTGTGGGCGTCTACTCCGTCCATTTCATAGTTATAGTGAACCCGTTTTATGCTCCCTGTCCGTGCGTTGGTGATAAATAGACCAGTACCTGTCCTTGACATTTTCTTGAAGGAAGTTTTTTGCCAGAGACACAGATGAGTATCATTTATTGTGTACATTAGTCCCATGTAGTCACTTTATAGTTAAAGCATATTTATGTATGTGTACTGTATTTTTCTTTGTGCTGATGAAGGCTAATCGCCGCAACATCCTTTGTTTGTTTATTGTGATCAGTTTTGTAAAGCTAACATAAACTGTTTGTTTTTTTCTTACCATCTTTTTCTCTTCCCTGTACTTTCCTAACTCTTTAAAAACTTGCTGGTAGCATGAACTTTTGTGTTTTACCCAGGTTCATGTGAAGTACATCGATTTTGGCAATGATGAACTTCTGCCCATGAAAGAGCTGCGCAGTATGCAGGCCCGCTTCATGAGGTTTCCTGTGTTTGCCATTCTCTGCTCACTGTTTGACATTGCTCCCTTTGAAGAAGACAAGCCCTGGAGCGTCGAGGCTGTTCAGGAGTTCCACAAGATGACTCAGAACCAGGTACTTGCACTTCATCGTGTGCTTTGTTCAGTTTGTTATCATGTTGAGAATAGTTTAACTTATTGGTTTCTGATCCTCAGGAGACAATTTTGATGAATTATTGATTACAAAAGCGGCTGGCTGAATGGTTAGAAGGCTAGGCTCTCAAGCGGGAGACCCGGGTTCGAATCCACTGTAAGGCTGGGGATTTTTTCTGTCGGGGGCAAAATAAAATCCCCACCTGCACAGTTGTGGCGACAGCACTAGCCATGCTGCCTTAAATCCCCAGACTCAAAGACGACCCCCCCCCCCTACCTACACTGCAATGATATTGGCAGTTTTTTGGCATTGATCACAAATTGTGTTCAAAAGGCGGAGCAGGCGAAGGTTATGGCAGACCAAAGTAGCCTAAGAAATGCATGAACATGGCAGAGTTCACAAAAACTTATCAGAGGCTAAGAATATGAGAGAATGCAGTTCTGTCTTTTAGTGTATGGAAAACAGAAGACTGATTGTGAGTGAATCTGTATGAGCATCTATAAGAACAACCGACAAGGGAGACAGATCCTGGCTGTGGCACAGGGTACACAAGATGGTTGCTTGAGATCTGTCTACTGCGATTCTGTTATAAAGTGTAAACCTTTCTTCCAAGTTTTGCCGAACATTGTTTTTGGTTGAGTCGACTGCGAGGGTGCACTTTAAAAGGGTAATAATACCTTGATTGTAGGTTGTCCGGTGAGTTGATTACTGTTTCAAACCTAGATGCTTCGACTTCTAATTCCACATTCACATATTCTTACATGTTATTTCATCTAACCTTATGTTTTCTATGGGCATTTGTTTGTAAATTGTCTTCAGAATGTCTCGTTTGTCCAGTACAAGTGTTCCTGTAGCTATCGCTCCTGTGGCATTGTCTCCTTGCCCTGAAGGCAAATCAATGCCTAAAATGTATAATCAGATGACTTTATTGTCTATAAAAGACTAATATATCTTCTTTTTCTCATTCACTGACTGTAAACTCCGGCAGAAAGTTCTGGTTGTTCGTCCACCTCATGACTTTAGTCTTGTTCGAAAACCTGGGTGTTGTGTGCACATCTGTTTTAAATATCTGATTTGTATGCAGACTATTGGTTCCTTGCCTCTCAGGCAGATGCAGTCCGACTTTGAAGGAAACCCACCAGTTAGTCAACTCCTACAACATGCTTGTTGGACAGGCAGTGGGTCTGTTTTTGGTTTCCCCACAATAGGGACCCAATACCCACACGAAGAGACGTGTGATTTTTTTTTTTTCATCCTGCAGATGCTGATGATGACCGCCATCGGGATGCAAGGAGCAGTCTATGAGGTCGACTTGATCTGCACACCAATGGCCGATGCATTGGATGATAACTATGTGTCAATAAGGGACATCCTGATCTTTCTGGGGCTGGCTCGGTTCAGGACATTCAGTGATGCTTCCACCACCTCATCGGCTCCACCGTCATATCCCAAGGTTGACTTTATCCAGGTTTGTGTCAGAGTTGTTTGACTTTATCTAGGCTTGTGTCAGAGTTGTTTGACTTTATCTAGGTTTGTGTCCGAGTTAGATTTTCCCCACGTTTGTGTCATCGTGGTGCACTATATAGTGGTAGTCTTGACACATGTCCGAACCATTTGATCTATTGTTTATTTATGTCGTTTATTGTTGGTCCGTCCCAGCTTAAATTTTTTTTTTAAATATCATAATTTTTAATCCTGTCTCTTCTAGTTACATTCAGGATTGGCCTTAGACATTTGATATCTGTTGTTTTTATTTTTATTTTTGTTGTTAGTGTCTGTGTTTAGTGTCTGTGTTTGGGACTGGTAACGCATTGTTACAAAACACATTTACAAAAAATACTACATTGTATAGTGCTGTTTTGGTGTCAGTTGTTACATGTTTATTCTGCAGAATTGGTGACATCTGTCCAGCAGTTTGATCTGTTTTATTACTTCTGTGTTCTGTCACTTGTTTCAATTTTTTTGTTCGAGCATCAAAACACAGAAAAAGTAGAACTCCACACAGCTTTACACACAAGGTTGACTTCGGCTAATGTTAGTTTGCTGGCACCTGCCACTGAATATGTCAATATTGTTTATTTTTGTTTTCCTGAGTGGATTCCAGGGGCCCCTTTTTGTGGGTGGGGGTAGAACCACTCCCCCCCCCCCCCCCTTCCCAGCATGTCATAAATGGCAGTTAATTAGGATTTTGCTGAAATCGGATGTGTTGGACAGATAAGTCCAAATTTTGCAGTCTAGCTGTAAACCACAACACAGCGTGCCAGCCATCCATTGAAGGGCAAAGGCAGAAGTTTATTTGTACTAAAATGGTCAGACCGTTTCTGTGACACTTTAAATTTGTGCGGGTTTGTGGTTGTTCTCTGTAAAACTTCTCAGCACACAGCCAGTCCTTCTGTGGAGAGAGTGACATCCTGATAGAATCAAATCAGGTGTCACGATCTTGGAATGAAGCCAGGTGAAGCTCGTTGGTGCCCTCTTCCAGGTCAATATGGGAGACATTGTAACTAACTTCTTATGAGAGCAATTCAGTAGGGGTACTTTATGGTGGCTGCTGCATCAAAGTGCTGAACAGGCATAGGAATGCCCAGTGTGCCGGTGAAGTTGATTGTGATAGTTGCACAACCTTTACAGGACATTGTAGAACCAACCCCATCATTTTTGTGTGTGGCTATTGTTGTTTTTGTAGGCAAATTTTACATTCAGTAGTTTTGATTGTGATAACCATGAAGTTTATCCTCTTACCTTTAATACCATTTCCCAGCTCTAAGACCAATTCCTGACTTTTAACTCTTTCAGTCCCAGGTGGTTTCAAAGTAGAAACCCAGTTAGGCACAACAATCAAAGTGAAAAAGCCACCAGCATATGACTTTTTAAAGATACAGCGTATACTGTGCTGCACTTAAATTATTTCACCATATTTCTTTTGCATACCTAGACCAAACAGGAGATAAATAAAAACACACCATGTGTTGAGTTTATACACACAGACATAGGCTAAGCACACATGATGTGTGGCTTGCAGTAGAAAGAGTTAAGGCCGATTCCTAGCACTAAGACAAGTTCCCAACTCTGTGACCAGTTCCCAACTCTGTGACCAGTTCCCAACTTTCTCAGCCAAGTTTCCATTGTTTTTAGACACTTGTCAAAACTGTTTCTAGATTTTTATCTCCTTTCAGCCGACATCTGTGAAGAATGGTACAACACTGAGCGTTATCGTATCACACATCACCTCTCCATGGGACGTTCACGTTGTGTGCCTCGGGGAGGAGTACGAGTACTACTTGAGCATGCATGAGGAGATGCAGCAGATGTATAACAAGGACATCTGCAACATCTACACTTTGTTCTACCCTCGCATGGACATGGTGTGTGCCGCCCAAGGAAGTGATGGTGAATGGCACCGTGCAAAGATCCTGTCTATTCCTTTACATAAGGAGGTAGGTCTGTGGTCATGTTAGTGATTATGGTAGAAATTAAAGTAAAGTAATGCTGCTAATCTTATCGTGTGGATTATTTATAAACTTTAATTCAAGCCAAACATTGATGGAAAAGGTTTACAAATTTTAAAGAACATGGATTGGCAGCAAACAGAATAAATAACAATTTGGGAACATTTTAGAGAATAAAAAGGGGAGTAAGACAAGGATGTGTATTATTATCACCTGGTTTGTTTTTAATTAAACAGTGAATGTATAACGAGAACTATCACGGATATGCCAGGAATTGTTGGTGGTGGGCATAACATAAAGAACCTGCGTCTTGATAGCCACAAATCAGAAAGAACTACAAGAATTGATAGATACAGTTGTGGCAGAAAGTGATAAAATGGCCTCAGTTTAAATAATCGGAAGACAGATATAATGGTGATTTCCAAGAAAAGAATAATGCCTGAATGTATAATATAAGTCAAAGACGTTATTTTGGGACAAGTACTGAAATTTATGTGTCTAGGCACATGGATAACATCTGATGGAAGATGTATCACAGAGATAAAGAACAGAATAGGACAAGCCATCGAAGCCCAAAGAATATTTTATACAGAAAATCCATGTCATTGGAGGTAAGGAAAAGAATTTGCACATGCTATACTGAGCCAGTTTCAACATGCAGCTGTGAAGTCTGGACAATTAATAAACAAGCTGAACAATATCTTGAGGCCTCGGAGATGTGGTTTTACAGAAGAATCCTTAGAATTCCTTGGACAGACAAAAAGAGCAACCCAGATATTTTGAAAGAGGCAAGTGCAAGAGGCAAGAGGCAAGTGCTCGAAGACAACTTATCACAAACATAATTTTTTGGTCATGTTATTTAATGAGGAAAAATGTAACATGCTGTGACCACTGGAAAGATCTGTGGAAAGAGAGAGACAGAGGAAGACAGTGTGGAAAGAGAGAGACAGAGGAAGACAGCGTGAGAAGATTCTTGACAGTCTTCTGTCGTGGCATGGAGGGGTGTCAACTGATACAAGCAGATCGTGGATTGTGGAGAAGCATGATCTCCAAACCAGTCGCTACGGCACTTGATAATGATGATGAATACCAACATAGGTGATTATTAAAAGCCACTGTTTAATACCAGTACAGATTGATTCTGAAGCAAGTTGGTTTTATATCACTGTTGATTGTGCTGAAGCAAACTGCTTTAATTCCTTTCTAGATTATTGCTGAAGCGGACTCTTAGAAAATGTTTCTAAAATGAAGGGTCAACTTATATGGCTGGTATAAAATGCGTTAAGTGGGTATAGGTTAAACTCTTTGAGTTTTCCGCTCGTATTTATGAGGTTGACTTCTCTACTGTAGTTTATGTTATTTAAGGCAAGAGCTTTAACGATACTGGTTATTGCAAACTGCTCCTAAAGAAGGCTGGATATCATTACAGAGGGCTAGGACTACAATTGTCCCATTTGATAGAGCAGCAGGAACAAACAGCACTCAGAACAGAATTGGGCACTCTTCCAAATACCGGTCCCAAATTATTCACTGCGAAAAATATTTTTTTTCTCAAACATGTGGCCCTGGATCCCAGTTACTGTGAACAATGGATCAAAAACTATTCCCCCCCCCCCCCCCCCCCCACATCGCTATAATGCATTGAAAACTACTCCTACCCACAACGCTTCAACATTGGATCAAATTGTATTCATCCTTACAATACTTAAATGGATCGAGAACTATTCCTCCCTACTGCGCTTAGCTTAACGTCTAAACATTGCTATCCTTCGTGCTATAACGGCAGAAGTGGAAACTGATGATGGGGGCCTAAATGTTGTTACTACAGTACATAATCTCTTGACGCTCCCAACGGAATGTTTTTCGCAGTGAATAATTTGGGACCGGTATTTGGAAGAGTGCCCAGAATTGACATACAAAACATATATGGCTGTTTCAGGCTGCATTGTCTGCCCGTCACAGTTAGTTGTCTAGAAGAGAGCATTCAGCTCAATTATCTTCTAACCGCACTCACAGGACAGAATGTGCTGCATACACACTAACTTCACAAACAGTTCCTTGCATGCTTGGGTTCCTGTTGAAAAAAACATTCAATCGACAGGCATCCATCATGGCAGTTCTTTTCTTTTTTTTTGTTCAACATCTGTAAACTCAGGCGGAAAGTTCTGGGTGTTTGTCCACCTCGGGCCTTTAGTCTTGTTCCAGACCCTGAGTGATGCATGCACATCTGTTTCACAAATCTGGCTTATTTGTATGCAGACTCTTGGTTCCTTGTCTCTCATGGAGATGTCAGAGGATGCCCCCAGCTAGTCGACTTCTACTAGGAAGCAGTTGGCCTGTTCTTGCTTTCCCCACAGTGGGTCCCTGGAGCTCACAGGGGACCTCGTGGCAGGTATTTATAGCTGCTTGGGTTGACTGAACTCTCTGGTTTACAGAACACAGACTCATGCTTACTTCCGTACAAATCACAAATTTGTCCGCATCACACCCAGCGCAATATTTGCCACAGGCAATACTGTGTTGTAGGGGTGTCATGGTATTTTCAATTATGTTTTGTTGTTTTAAATGCTATAAGCATTCTGTATTCCATGTTGTGAGCGGCCAGAACTTTCCTCATGTTTTGTTATTTTCAACCCTGAAAGCAGTCTATATTAGATGCTTTGAGTGGCCAGATTGTTTTGTTTTCCACATTGTAAGTCATTACTATGTGTGTTACAGCGTTGTCTGTTGGCCTTTCATCGCTGTCAATGCGGCCTTACTTGGTGACCTGATTTTCAAAATAAATTTCTTTATGACAGCCCCCCCCCCCCTCCTTTTCAGGGCCTGCCCAAAAATGCCGCCAATTCTCAAATCTGTGCTTGTTGCACAAAAAACATACCCCATAGAGAAAACTAGTTGAACATTTGGCCACGCACACAAACAAAAAAAACAAACACTTTCGCTCAGTGTCGGCTGCCAGGAGAGAAAGTTGCAGACTTTCATCGTGTTGAGCCTTGAATGAACAGCAGCTGGTTTTGCACACGGTGTGCATCGAAGCAACACGCATGCTAACACCTCTACAACATAGGGCATCTCGTGGGAACCCATGACAGCGCATGAATGGCAGTTGTTGTGAAATTTATCACACTTCTAATCATCCATTTAATTAATCTCACACATTATCTTAGCATCGTTCAGTTATTTTCATATTTTCACAACAGTCACTCTAAACCTCATGTTTCTCTAATTCTGGCCCATGGCTTTCTCAAACCTTGCCTGTTTGCACTTAATTTCTTTTGACTAGAATTGTGTCTCAAATTCTGCTAATATGATTTAAAGTATGTCATTACAAGAGCCCTACCCACTTGACAGTGATTTGGTCAAGTATGACTACAGTTTTTAGCTAACATACTACTGACTGCAAATAGGATGTTTCAGGCTGAAAAGCGCAAAAACTGCAGCCTAGCTGAAAACCACAACATGGCAGCTGCCCTTTTAAGGATGACTGCAGAAGATTTAGACTGTATTGCCCCTCATGTGCTGTTTACCCGGTAACATGGGCCAGATTTTACAAATTTAAATATTTTACTTCATTTCCGGAAATATCTCAGGTCTCTGTCAAGTTTGTTGACCTTGGCTCGACTGAAACCGTCCGATATGACCATCTGAAGAAACTTCACAGCAGCTTCATCAGACTGCCTGTTCAGGTAAGGAATTTACAAGGTGTCACACACACACACTCCCACTTATCTACTTGCCAACTCCCTACTCATAATGTCCCCCACCCTCATTTTTGTGTGTATTATTTTTCAAAACTATTGCTGTGCTGGACAGATCAAAAGAGTAATGAAGATGTCTTGAAAGAAACTGACTTAGAAAGAGAACTGGTTGCCTGAATCTGAAAGAGACAATCTGCATTCTTTGGTCATGTTATAAGAAGGAGAAAACTGAAGTACATCGTGATAGTGGGAATGTTGGAGGGGAGGAGAGACAGACCAAGAGAAAAGATACTGGACAGTTAGACAGCATAGCATGGATGATCAACTGTATCAGACTTGATTGAAAGTACACAAGACAGAAGGTTGTGGATAGACATGACTACCAATGCCGCATGGCATCGACTTTAAGAATAAGTGTTCACAAGTTTTGGAGATGCATGTTCGCCCATCCAAATAGGCAAGGAACTTGATGATGCTTAAGATTTCTTATGATCCTAATAAGCCAACCAGCAACGCCAACTGTAAGTTTGTGCTAGGAGAATGTGGAAAGAACACAGACAACCAAGTACCTGGGGATATGATTTGATCGATCTTATTCCGAACACATAGACCAGGTGATAATAATAGCCATGCAGAGCTTGGCTGCATCCAAGTGAGCGCTGTCATTTGTCTTTTTATATCATGATCAGGTCCTTTCTGTTTTTGAGTATTTGATAACAATCCTGACACTCTGCCATAAGCAGTTGGAGAGGATGGAAGGGAGACAGAATAAGACTGTACACATTATACTTGGGTGTACAAGAGACACATCTTGGTAATCTTAGTTTCAGCTTCAAAGCAAACAGGTCACCTCATAGTTACCCCGCTCCTGTGCCAACGAAAAGCACACTGAATGTTCATCACAGTCCCTTGTGGAAAGATTGACAGACTGCTGTCTCAGCATATGCACTAACATACACACGCATTAAAAGCATACAGTAGCCATCAGAAGTGGATGTTTGTCCTCTTGTGACTTTCATGAGACTTTGCCTTGTATGTTTGCAGGCCATTCCCTGCCAGCTGATGGATGTTTGTCCTGTTGATGGTCCAGCGGGGCAGTGGTCAGATGAGGCCAAACTGTGGTGTCACAACAACCTGACTGGTGTTGTAGGGCAAGCTAGGTTCATCAGGTAAGCTCTGCATGTTGTTAATGCTCAATATTTGACCATTGAAAGTTGTTAACACCAATATTAATGATGGGATGCTTTCTGTATGTTCAACTTTTTTTTTAAATTTAGCTTTGATTATAGCATTTTATTTCTCCTGTTTTGTTGAATCAGGAATCTACATCATATCACTCGGGATATTCCCATAAGTGCTTTGTCCATATCTTCAGCAGCAAGTGCAGAGTTCTAATTCTGGTGGCACCGGTAACTGTTTGATGGTAGTCTGATTGTATATCCGTCTTGCCTTTGCCCCTGAGTGTTTACCATTGTCCATATCCCCTGGTAACTCCTCGTAGTTCCATTCTTCTCAGACCATGATGATCTGTTCACCCGCTCTACAGTCTAACTTGTCATGTATCAGTTCACCACCAAATGATGCAGAGCCAGCCGGTTTGTCTGCCTGTTCATTTTCAAGCACACTGACATCACCTGGAAAAAATATTCAAATGACTCCGGGTCTTCTGAAGTGACGCTTGCCACTCTTGACAGAGCAAACCTGTTGTCTCTATCTTTCCTAATATTCTTTGTGAGTCATTTGCATTAATGATGTGTGTGTGCAGCTGATTCTCAGGCTGTTTGTTAGCACTTATAATGTCATGACATTTAAAAGAGTATCAAGTTAGCCTGGGAGCTAGTATTGTGTCTTAGTGGTCTCAGGTCCTACTTCCCATTACTTATGATGAATCACTGCACTCAGAGGGAGCACGTAAGTGCTTGGTCTCTCTAGCAGAAATCTAAAGATGTGGATGTGGTTTGTCACTGTAGTGAGCTGGTTAGCTACACAGAGGCACCTCAGGATATGTCCACTTTCAGATAAGACCAACTTGATATACGTCCTGGTTTTATGCTAACAGTTTTGCTTGATATGCGACATTTGGGGATTTGCATGCTATAACTTGCATGTGTCCAAATGAGTCATGACCGAGTGCTAGCTACTCTTTGCTGAGAAATCCCAGACAAGTCGTAATAGCATTAATGGAATGAGCAGACAGTGTCAGGTCCCAGAACATCCTGAAGGAAAGCCCGAAGCAAAGTTCTTTGGACCGGTTTTTTTGAGTAAATATCAAACCTGGTGAGACTTAACCAGGTCCAATTCGAGAGAATAGACAGACAAAAAAATATGAAAAAGGAAACAAAAACAGAATTTAGGATACCTGAAGTTTTATTGGAAGGGGACTTCTCTTCCAGACAATAACATCTTCTCCTCCTCCCTTCTCAGTACAGTCCTAACAAGGTCAAGTGAATTAAATTTTCATTTATTTTATCTTCTTCTTCTTCAGCATTCTGAGCCCTTGAGATTCATAGCTGCAGATATCACCTGCCTCCATTCATCTCTCTGGTTGGCCTTCTCTTTCCAATTGGTGACACAAAGTGTTTGCAGGTCTGCCTGGATGTTATCTCTTCATATTCTTCTTGGTCTGCCTCGTGGCCTACAACCATTCATCTCCCTTGTGTATAGTTTTTACTTCTCTGTCATCTGACATTCTTTCAATATGCCCCAACCATTTATTTATTTTATCTATTTGCTTTTATATATATATATATCTATATATCCCCTGTGTGGGTTCTGGGGCCCTATTGTGGGGAAAACAAGAATAGACCCACTGCCTCCCCAAAAGCATGTCGTAAGAGTCGACTAACTGGGGAGCTTCCTTTGAAGTCGAAGTGCATCTGCCTGAAAGGCAAGGAACCAGCAGTCTGCATTCAATAGAATCAGATCTGTAAAACTGATGCACATGCAACACCCAGGTTCTGGAGCAGGACTGCAGTCCAGAAGTGGACGAACAACCAGAACTTTACGCCAGAATGTACAGCTGGTGAACGCAAAGAAGAAGAAGAAGATATATCTATATATATAAAAATCAATGTTTGTGTGTTTGTTTGGTCTGTATAGACTCGGAAACTACTGAACCGATTTAGCTGAAATTTTCAGGATATGTTTGTTGTGATACCGGATTTTGAACCGTCGTGGTTTGAAATTCAACCTGTCACTGTTAGAGATAGGTGACCACAATTTATGCCAAAATATACGCAACTAATATTTATAACTTTAGTGATTTCTAATTATAGCCACGTTAGTAATTGCGCATGCGCCGTATTTACCATTCGCCGGCGAGTTACGTGCAGCCAACGCCTTCTCTAATACTAATACATAGAGTAGGTCATGGTACAGCAAACAAGACTATCTCTATATTTGCCACAATAACCATATTAAACACGATTTCTATTTTTTTTTTTTTTTTTTTCAAACAACCTTCGATGGGGGGGGGGGGGGGGGTGGCAATCAAGGACTATGTCGGCGCAGACAGTGACTGCGACATTAACTTCATTAACCGTGTTAGACACGTGCGATTTCTATTTCATTAATATATCTGGAGTATCTGTCTACGAGAAAACAATTGCCTGCGGTTTTGAATTGTGTTTTAATCGCGACACAGTGGTAGGGACACATATGTCTAATAGTTGTGTTCTCTTTTCGTTGTTCCGATTAAGTGGCTGCTTGGTCGAATGGTTAGAACACTGGGTTCAAGTGCGGTAGACCTGGGTTCGAATCCGCAGTATTTAATTTTTTTTTTAAATCCCGGACTAAAATAATATCCTCATCTGCTCTGTCGTGGTGACAGCACTAGCCATGTTGCCTTAATATTTTTAAAAAAAATGCATTGTTAAACTTTCCGATTGCATGGTTACGCTGAAATTTTATAGATTTTCATTTATTTTCATTTAGATTTAGTTATTTCATCTGTGTTGGAATTTTAAGCTGTGCTGTTTACCATGGCGTTCATTTCCTAATTATGGTGTTTTTTTTCCTGTGTTCATTTGCTTTTCAAGTGTTGTTGTTTTTTTCTCCCAACTACTTCAATGTGGGAAAGAGTTGTCGGGGAATTTGGGGGGAGGGAGGCAAACTATTAACTGAGAGAGCTTTAAGTCACAGTAACTGCTTTACCCACTTAAAGTAGCAGCAGCAGTAATAGTTGTGGTTGGGCTGTTACACCATAGTGCTCTCACGTGAAGACCGCCGGTAAGGTTATGGCGTTCTTCTGTCGGCAAGTGAAATTATACATCCTAACCTGACCAGTCTGTGGCGACAGCACTAGCCATGCGGAACCAAATCTTCTGGCTCACGACTCTCTGTCTACTCCGATGGTAACACAGATAGCAGTGACATTATTTTAGTAGTTGTACTGGTACTTGAAGGATGATGTGGTAAATATTACACTAGCCCCATTCACTACCGATTACAATTCCTGCTCCCCATTTTAGTCCAGATGGACAGGGATGTCAATGTCAGTTACAGCAACAACAAAATATCGCCAGGTAATGATTTTCAAATATTTCGAAGAGGGAGAGAGCAGTAGTCGGTGGAAGAGGGGAGGGGAATTTTCTGGTTTTTTTCCAACAACCTTCGATGGGGGTGGGGGGGGGGGCAATCAAGGACTATCTCGACGTCGGCGCAGACAGTGACTGCGTCATTAACTTCATTAGACAGGTGCGATTTCCATTGTCTTTCTTTTCTAAAAACCTTTGATGAGGGAGAGGGTAGTAGGTGGATTTAGTTGTTGGGGGGGGGGATCAAAGACTGTCTCAAATTACGCCACAGCAACGTGTGGCCGGGTACAGCTAGTATATATATATATATATGTGTGTGTGTGTGTATGTATATATATATATATAAAATGTTAAGCAGTGTTTAAATTATTGTATACAACTCCCATTAAAGTCTAATATGACCTTAATAGTAGTATTTTTGTGTGGATAGGAAAAGATTAATCATTCTCCCTTTATTTCTTATGGTAAAGTTCATTTGGTATGGAATCCATAGGTATATGTTCAAGAATATGGAACAGATTCAATATGGATGCTGAGATACCACTGTATTTCAGAACTGCCTTGCCTGTGTTGAAGAACTTATATCCTGTAGTCCCCTGTGTTACATGCTCATGATATCTTTTCTTTGACTTGTCACATAATTTAACATGTTTAACACTAACTTTCAACTTTAGGGGGCTGAGTGCTCTCGAGGTAACGTGTCCGCCTTGAGCCCAGGTGAAGGCTAGGGTTTTTTCACTTGGACGTCTAGTAATTTTCCCTGGTCTCTGGGTAGTAAGATCGGACGCTGTGTGTATTCTTGCACACGTTAAAAAAATCCCTTGGCAGTTAGAAAATCGAAAAGAGTAGCCTAATGGCGCTGCCGGTGCAAAATTTGAATCTACCCAAAGTATTTCAGGATCCTTGCCACTGCAACAAAGTTCATGGACCGCACTGAGATTTTTCAGACTCAGGCTTGAGTTAGAAGTAGAACGGAGCATTTATGGGTTACACCTGTGTGCCATGATGCTGATCTGTCAAATAAACTAACTTTTAAATGTTGTTTTCCCCCTTTTCTTAGATCTGGTCAAGCTGTGCACATTGTTCTGTGGTTGGAGTGCAGTACAGGGCTCCCATGCACAAAGAGTGTCAATTTTACTCTTGTGGATAGAGGCTTTGCTCAAAGCACTGGTCCATCATCTCTCGACAGTGTTGAGGGAATTAACTCTTGTGGCACTGTGTTCAAGAATGATAATGATTACAAGAAGATGCATCCCAAAGAACCTGCTGCTGTTTCCCCACTGCCACAATCCCTGAGCAGAACCACTGTTTCCACGAACTCTTCAAGAGGTGCAATGTCAGACACCAGCTCGTCACATGCAGCGTTGAAGAAAACCCCAATGTCGCCTGCAACCGGTCAGAAAATAGAACATAAGAAAAAGAGCTCCAGAGGAATTCAAGCCAAGAACAAACAGTCGGCTGGAGAAGCCAAAACCCAACAAAAAGTTCACAGTGCCCCGAACGTTGATGTTTCACTCTCATCTCAAAAGTTGGAGACAAGCTATATTGAAGTGTTCATTAGTAATTACATTTCCCCTTCGGAATTCTACGTTCAGGTATGTTTTTGTGTAGCTGTATTCTCATGTTTCATTCTTGTGAACTTTCTGTCATATAAACCAGTGTTCTTCAAACTGTGTGCTGTGGAGAGAGTCCAGCTGGGCCACCAAAAAATGGTTGTCTTCCAGGATTGCCGTCTGTAGCTTTGATTGTGATTAGCACTTTTCCGTCTTTCCAGTCGCTCGGGTTAAATTGCACTTTAAGCAGGCATGGGACTTGCAGCCCACGGCGATTGCGAGTGTGACTAGCAAGACCCACCCCCATTAAGGAAAGTCTTCTACAATTATAGCATAGGATTTGAGGCCGTTGTTCCCAACATTCATGTTTAACGTGTTTCTTCTTGATCGCTCAGCTCTCATCCCTTCTGCAGTAAGTTCTTCCTTCATTCTTATTGCCTTCCTGATGTGTCCCATCCCACACAACACGGCCCATGGCATTTTGTTACTACAAGTCCACTTCAGTACCTGTATCATTCATGTCCTACTTGCACAAATCTTTATATCATAGGAAGGGTCCAGCTTGACATCTTCTACCCATCATTAATTCACCATAAAGGATATATATGTGTGTATATATATATATATGTTTGAGCTCCCAGGGAATGTATTCCATTAAATGCTTCACCCTGTTCATGTTTGCTGATGACTCCATTCATGTATCTTAATGTATTTCGGAGGGGAAGGGGAATTTAGATGCATTCTTTATGATTTTTATGTGACCTGTGTAATTTTATTTTTTAAAGAATTTGTTCTTGAATTTCAACTGGTTCATAGACATCTCCTTCTCCCCCCCCCCCCCCCCCCCCTTTTTTTTCCCCCCCAGTTTTTCTTTATTTTCTTCTGGAATTAGAAGGTTAAACAAAGGCGCAGAGAAAAAGTTGCTGATATTGAAGATAATTGACAAGGTAGAGACGAACAGTTGCTGATAATGAAGATAATTGACAAGTTAGAAAGAACTTTAAACATCTCGAGCAAAAACAAATTGTGACAAATGGGATGCAAATATGTCAAGTTAAGAATTGGAATGATCCAAGTTTAAATGTGAGGATGGCAACTGATCTTATGTGAAAACATGTCTTCATTTATACTTTCTGTCGCTTTGAAAATTGAAGATGCAATTTGGTTACATTGTCTTTGGTCCTGCCGTTGTTTGAAGACAGTTATTAGGACTTCAGATATCAAGGATTCTCAGAGTTGTCAGGTGGTCAGTATTTTGTCTTTGATATATTTATACAGGTCACAGAGACACAGAATGATCTGCTGCAACTGATGAAGGACATGCAGGATGTGTTCAATACTTCTTCAGCTGCACCATCCCAGGAGTGGTCAGCGAACGACTACTGTGCTGCCAGGTGAGTCACTGTTGGAGTCTTTGTTAGTCTCACTTGTTGTGTATAAATGTTTAGTTGAATGATTTGTTCCTTTCAGTTACTGTTGGATGCAACATGGTCTTTGTTAGTCTCACTTGTTGTGTATAAATGTTTAGTTGAATGATTTGTTCCTTTCAGTTACTGTTGGATGCAACATGGTCTTTGTTAGTCTCACTTGTTGTGTATAAATGTTTAGTTGAATGATCTGTTCCTTTCAGTTACTGTTGGATGCAACATGGTCTTTGTTAGTCTCACTTGTTGTGTATAAATGTTTAGTTGAATGATTTGTTCCTTTCAGTTACTGTTGGATGCAACATGGTCTTTGTTAGTCTCACTTGTTGTGTATAAATGTTTAGTTGAATGATTTGTTCCTTTCAGTTACTGTTGGATACAAGCTAGATGTTGTGAGGGCCTGTTGAAAGTGAGTGAACACATAGAAAATTTTTGTTTGAGGAGAGTAGGTGCTGCTAGGTGTTACTGGGGGATCTGGCCGACGCTCAACACTCACGGGAAAGGCGAGACGGATATACACTCAGACAGTCACTGGTGCCATCGGGACTAAAACTCTTCGCTTGCTGCTGAGGATTGTAACAGAGCGCATATGGGGGTGTCCCTAGTGCTAGGATGTTGATTCTTAATTCAACATTCTTGTTTTTTCTCTAGAAAAAAAGTCCCTGTCCAGTGCGCTTAACGGCAGAAGTTGAAATTGTTGATGATGAAATGGAATGAGCATATCAGTTGTCTGTATGAATAAATGAAAAAATTTTTCTCAGATTTGCACCGGATGACTTGTGGTACCGAGCTTACATTGTGAGTCAGGTCAGTGAGGATGAATTTGAAGTAGAGTATGTCGACTTTGGAAACGTTGATGTGGTGAAGAGGTCAGATCTGCAGCCTCTTCTGCCAGAGTTTGGCAGGAGAATGCCTTGCGCTGCTGCCAGGTATGTTTCTCCTACATAGGCCATACCATATATCATTTTAATCATTATTGTCAAGTCACTAATTTACAGGTGGGCTGCTTGTTGGTGTCGTGTGTTCCATAATTATGTCTCATGTTATTGCTATGTAGCGATAGCTGACGAGGTGAAAATGCTGTCCAGATTTGTCATAGGGTGGCTGATTTATCATAAGGGTGGCTGATTTATCATAGGGGTAGCTAATTTTATCATAGGGGTAGCTGATTTTATCCCAGGGGTATCTGATTTTATCATAGGGGTAGCTGATTTTATCCTAGGGGTAGCTGATTTTACCCTAGGGATAGCTGATTTTATCATAGGGATAGCTGATTTTATCATAGGGATAGCTGATTTTATCCTAGGGGTAGCTGATTTTACCCTAGGGATAGCTGATTTTACCCTAGGGATAGCTGATTTTATCCTAGGGATAGCTGATTTTATCCTATGGGAAGCTGATTTTATCATAGGGGTAGCTGATTTTATCCCAGGGGTATCATATTTTATCCTAGGGGTATCTGATTTTATCCTAGGGGTAGCTGATTTTATCCCAGGGGTAGCTGATTTTATCCCAGGGGTAGCTGATTTTATCCCAGGGGTAGCCGATTTTATCCCAGGGGTATCTGATTTTATCCTAGGGGTATCTGATTTTATCCTAGGGGTATCTGATTTTATCCTAGGGGTATCTGATTTTATCCCAGGGGTATCTGATTTTATCCTAGGGGTAGCTGATTTTATCCCAGGGGTAGCTGATTTTATCCCAGGGATAGCTGATTTTATCCCAGGGGTAGCTGATTTTATCCCAGGGATAGCTGATTTTATCCCAGGGGTAGCTGATTTTATCCTAGGGATAGCTGATTTTTTCCCAGGGGTATCTGATTTTATCCTAGGGATAGCTGATTTTATCCTAGGGGTAGCTAAGAATACTTTTAACATCATCAACAACATAATTATATGTAACTAATGAGTGGCATAGATGCTCATGTTCCTTCTCAGCCATGTACAAGGAACAGAGCCTGCAGATTATCTTGCAGACACTGCGGTTGCTATGGCTGGTCTGTTACTGGGCAAAAATGATGTTATCAATGCCTTGCACAGCATATACAGTGACGATGAGCACGCCAAAGGGCATGACTTCATATCCCTGTCTAGGCTGATGGTCATGGGGTGTAGCCTGGAGCTGCAAGAAATGAAAATTTAACTAAGGTGACAAGAGTTTTCATTGATTAACACAGAACAGGAGTCATCATTCATTTTATACTTAAGGAGCTTTTAGATTAGGAGATTGGGGCACCTAGAGATCTGTAATGAGTGCTGTGGATAACCTCGCTAATAACTAACAGTCTTGTTTGCACATAAATGTGTGTAACATTTGTTCTAATTGTAATATCCATTTATAACTTGCTGACTTGCATGTATGCCTTTTTAAAAAGTGCATTCAAAATCAAGAGGATTGACTTGATTGTACCATGTATTCTTCCATATGGCTGTCTCTTTACAGACCAGAATTTGTGTTCCAAGAATCCGTTCTCTCCAAGCTGTACACTTTTGATATGTTTTAGTTCTGTTACAGGTGCCACCTGGCCAATTTATTGCCTGCTGGCTCTATGGATGTCAACAAGTGGTCTCAGACAGCAGTGGAGTTCATGGCTTCTCTGTTGAAAGACAGGTAGGGACAATACACATTTTTCGGTTCTTTATTAATATTCTACCCCAGATGGTGTCACAGGACAGTCCAACATTTTAGAGGGTGGTAAGACTGGGTTTATCGGCTTTCTGATGCTTTTAACGACCCCAAAACATCTAGAACTGGCCCTAACCCCAACCTACCTATGTCCCACGAGAGAGTGCAGCCTAGGTTCCAGGACTGCATGCAGCTTATCTACCACCCCCTGAAATATTAGACTGTCCCGTGACCTGTGGATTTCCCCTGTTTGGTGTAGGATTTTAATAAATCACAAATTTTCTTCTCATTGACTGGGTGATCAGGTATTTATTTTGTCTTGTTCATCTTCTTGTCTTCTGCTTCCTCTACATTTACCCTTAAACTGGCGAGTGACAGATTGTCGCTTTGCTGCGCTGTGACACCTGCACTTCTTTTTTGCCTGAAACATCTTCTTTTTTTAAACATTCGCCTGCTGTAAAATGTGGCAGAAAGTTTTAGTTTGTCCACTTTTGGACTTTTGTCTTGTTCCAGAGCGTGAGTTTTATATGCACATCTGTTTTACAGATCTGAGTTATTTGTATGCAGACTGTTGCCTTTTCACCTCATAGGCAGATGCATTCTGACTTTAAAGGAAATAACCCTAATTAGTCGCTTTTTTGACATGATTGTGGGGTGGGGGTCTTTTCGTGTCCTCCCCTTACACCCTCCTCCCCCGAATATGGCAGGAACCCACATGGGAGTTAGTTAGTTAGTTAGTCTTTCCTCTTGTGTCGAGTGCGGCACATAGGGCAGAGGTCATGACTCTCCATGCATGGCGGTTCGTTGCAATCTGTTGTAGGTCTTGGATGTTTGAGTGGCCCATGAGTGAGCCTTCCCTGATGATAGTTCTACGTAGGGTTTCCCTTGGTCTTCCACAAGATATTTTCTCCTGTGGTTTCCAAATGAGGGCTTGGTAAGGAAGTCTTGATTTATCCATTCTAAGGGCGTGGCTGACATAGTTAATACATGGGAGTAAAAGTAAAAAAAAAAGTAAAGTAAAGGACCCTTTCCACGCCTTTAGGCGTATAGGGCATATAGGGCTAGACCTATATTTTTATAGACCAACGGCACAAGATGGGTGATGTGGTCAGCATCACGCCGGCCGCCTCTACTTCCCGGGATTGCACCCGGTACCCACTCAAGGCTGGGTCGACCTGGGAGCCAAGGTCATTTTTGAAGAAAAGTACGTCTCCACCAGGGAGCGAACCCATGATACATGGGAGTAGCTCATCTGTAAATCCCAGATAGGTACCCTTTTGTTACATTTTGTTATGAGGCAGAGGGTTTGTTATTTCTTGCGCACAATAGGGCCCTGGAAGCCACATAGAAAGATCTTAAATTAACATTAGAATATTCGTTTGGGCAGTTAGTCTTTCCTGATGTGAGATCTATGAAGTGTGGATGCCACTTAACACTTTCAGCACCCAACAAAAAAAAAATGGCACCACGTGCACCAGTCTTTTACATGTTTTATATATCTGTACATCTTAAACATAGTCAGGTGCCCGGCTCTCTAGCGTAGTTGGCTGAACCGGATTGCGCGGAGCCCGGGTGACGAACTCCTTGTGGTCCGGGTTCAATCCCGGGGGTAGGCAGGAAAGCCACATTTTCTCCCAGATGTACAGTATTTACAATGGAATCAAGGCTGAAAGGTTGCGATATCCATAATACAGAGCCTAAGGGTTAACAACTCATGGCTTCTGGATACTAAAACAAACAAAACAAACATAGTCAGGTAAACTATATCAGCCCAGCAACACACATCACCCACAGTATGCTGTATGTATGCAGTAGGCCCATGCTTTTGTTGTCATCATTATTGCTTCAAACCGGCATTAGCTATGAAATTCCGAGACTGAAAGACTTAATGTGATAATGATATCTTTAACCACACCTTCATTTACATATTCTCTTCAGAAAATTGTATATCAAACAAGAAGGAGACCCTACGGATATGGGATTGCCAGTTGACCTGATCATGGAAGAAGAGATTCCAGAGACTGCCTTTGAACCGAAGAGTCACAAGTATCACTCCATGAGGAAGGCCATAATCAAGAATGGGCTTGCCATGCCAGCAAAGAAACAGTCGGAGCCGGACCCATCAACCCCTGATAGCCCTGGGTCGATTCCTTTCCAGAGATTCATTTTCATGGTGAGTGATTGTTGTCTCTAGAACATGGGTTCCCAACCTGTGGGTCATGACCCCGTGTGAGCTATGACGCGGATCTTCACGCCTCTACGTGGTTCTGTCCTCAGTTGACAAAGCAAGATTGTATAAAATATTCTAAAATTGTATGTTGAAACCCACTTGATAACTACAGCATAATTTTTCTATTAACTGTTGAATGAGCTTTATAGTATCCTGGTTTTGTGTTTTACAGTGTGGTCTGTGTGTTGAAATATTGTTTTAGTCTTGTCTTATGAAATTCACTAGGTACCCTATGGTAGATTATTAGTCTTGTAAAGAAAATAATTAAAATGAACAAATAATACTAATTACATGTGTGTACTTCTTCTTCCGCGTTATTCCCCAGTGAAGCATAGGTCTTCAACCAGCTCATGCCAGGTTGTGTGAAGCTCACCCCATATTCTCCCTGTCTTTTTAACTTCACCCTCAAGCTACCTTTTTTTAGTCTACTTCCATTTCTTTGCCCTTTTGGGTTCCAGTGCAGAGACATTCTAGTTATATTGTTCTTAGGATAAGAACGTGTGTCCTGTCCAATGCCAGTGTCTTTTCCTCACTTCTTGATTCACTGGAGTTTGTTTTTTTGCTCTCATTAAAATTCTATAATTGCAGAGGGAAAATGAGCCTGAAGACCTCAACCAAGACAGACTGGAACACAGAGATGTCGACCAGAATGCACTGCCCAACAAAACCACAAATAATTCTCAGGTGACCAAAGGTGCAGCTGAAAAAGAACACGAAATCATAGACACTGTATCAGACAGCCTGGAGTCAGACCAGGTATCTTGTTCTTTGTACATTAAAAAAAAAACAAATATGGCTATATAATATTATTGTAGACACAGATATGGCCATCTTTATGAAACTTCAAAGTGACAGTTGTATCAGACGGAATCACCCTCGTTTGGGTTCCAGGTTGGGTCCGCATTAGGTAGGCGAGGGAGGATAGCCTTGCTGTTCTCTCCCCCCCCCCCCCCTCAGCATATAATTTATAATTTATGTCAACTTATTGGGTTTTTTCCTTCAAAATCAGAGTGAATCTGCCTGAAAGGTGAGAAAATAACTGCCCAACAAGAAACCAGATCTGTAAAACCTATATGCACGCAAAACTCAAAGTGTCTGTGTGTGCCTCTGATGATAGTGGCTAGTTTGTGTTCTTTATAAGCGGACAGATGAGGGACAGAAAGATGAGACGTGCTGACTTGCTGTAAGATTTGTGTCGTTTTTCAGAGAGTGATCACAAGAAGAACAGTAAAAATATTTCAGTGTGGCTGGGTTAAGAACGAGATGGTTCAGCAAGTTATGACTTGTGATGTTGCCAGCAGAGCAGAATTTGATGACTGTGTTCTAAATATCCGTCTGATCCTGACAGCTCAAGCCTTTAGAATTTAAAGTTTTGCGTGGTCTTGAGGCATGGCATCAGCCTTGAATGCTGGATTTCCCAGGTTCAAGCCCCAGTGAAGGCTAAGATTTTTTCCTGTGGACCTCGAGTAATTTGCCCTGGTTTCTAGTTAGTAAGTTCGGACGCGCGTGTGTATTGTTGCGCACATAAAAAATCTCTCGGCAGTTGGAAATCGAAAAAGAGTTGCCCGGGCAAAATTATGAGTTGAAAATCTAACCAAAAGTATTCAAAAATCCTGACTCGTTTGTGCATTGCGCTGAGGTTCTTCAGACTCAGGCTTGAGTCAGAAGTAGAACGGGGCACTTATGGGTTGCTACCCTTGTGCCATGATGTTGATCCATCGTCTAAACCAGTTGTTTTTGCATGGTTGTTGTGATTCAGAACAATTCTCTGTATGTTTTGTTTTTAGGATGACATATTCAGCCTGCCACCTTACCCCTTGCCTCAGCTGAAGGTTCAGATGGCTGTGGTCCCAACATACGTCGACGTGGATGGGATCATATATGTGCAGCCGTATGCTTGGGAGGGCAGTTGTGCACATATGAGCAGTGAACTGCAGAGGATATATGGACAAGTGAGTAATCTATATTGTGGTTCAGACACAGACATGTAGTTCTCTGTGCGTTTAGATGATCATCAGAACCATCCTTTTGTGCCATCATGTATCACATGGACTTGCACTCTAGTCCTCTATATCATTCTATCCTATGCAGTTCTTTTAGTATCATGGGTGGAATCCAGCCCAGCACTTTTGGCCTCTCTTATCAACGCTCGTTTTAGAGTTTCTACTGGATGCCCTTGTTTCTTCAGCCCATTCGTTTCTCATTTTGGGGATTCTCTACTTGCTTCTTCTTTTTATAGTTTACCCAACAGAGGCCATCTTCTTTAGCTCATAACAGTTGATACCAGTGGTTGTCCTTCAGTATCACGGATGCCATTCAGTCCAGCACCTCTGATCTCTTTTTTTATCTGCAAATGTTTTAGTTTCTCGTGGGTGTCCTTGTTTCCTCTGTCCATTTGTTTCCTAGTTCAGTGCCTGTTTAGTTATTTTCTGCTTGCTTTTTTTCTCAGGATGTGCCCAATATAGCACTATCTTCTTTGTCTTTTAACAGTTGATACCAGTAGTTATCTTTTAGTGTCATGGATGAAATCCAGTCCAATGATTCTCAGGTGGATAAAAGTGCAGCTGAAATGGAACAGAACATCATCTATACTTTATTAGACAGTATGGTGTCGGACAAGGTATCTTGACCTTGTAGATAGAAAAAGAAAATATGGCTGTATCGTGTCATTGTAGACTAGAGATATCACTAATCATATTGTTTAGTTTCTATTGGATATCCTTGACTTCTCTGCCCATTGGTTTCTCATTTAGTGATACCCCATTTGCTTTTTAATTCCGAATGTGTCCATTATAGCCTAATCCTCCTTGTCAATTAATTTTTGGTACTAGTGGTTGTCTTCCCCACATTTCTCCATCCCCAAGTTACCAAATAATGAAATTTGTGTTGCCTTTTAGAGCAATCCCCTATGATTATTTCTGCCTTGTTGATCAGTCCCACCCACTCCACTAGTGTTTGTATGACCCATATAAAAGACTTGCTGTTGCCAGGTAGGATAATTTGCATTGATATTGTTTTTATATAACCAGATTGTTGCATCTGTTGCTGGGCAGGAAGATCTTTTTTAGTCCTTTGAGTCTCCAGTATGAAGTCTGTACTCATGGATGTTTCTTTTGGCAGGCATCTCCTGTGGACAGTACAGACTGGAAGGTTGGGCTGATGTGTGTGGCTCTATTTCCTGAAGATGGTTTCTGGTACAGGGCTCAGATCGTGGGGATCAAGGATGATCAGTTCAAGGTAGGAGCTTTGTGTGTCATTGCTGTAATATGTAGCTCTTTGTCACCATGCTGTCACCTTTCTTTCACTACCACGATGTCCCCTTTCCTTTAACACCTTGCTCTCGCCTTTCTTTTAGCGCCATGCTATTACCTTTAACACCATACTTTCACCTTTCCTTTAATGCCATGCTGTTACCTTTCCTATATCACCATACTCTCACCTTTCCTTTAATGCCATGCTGTTACTTTTTCAGTAACACCATACTCTCATCTTTCCTACAACACCATACTCTCACCTTTCCTTTAATGCAATGCTGTTACCTGTCCTACAACACCATACTCTCACCTTTCCTAGAAGGCCATGTTGTTATCTTTCCTATAACACTATACTCTCCTGTTCACTTATGTCTTGCAGAACACATAAATTAAAATGAGTGTATACATATATCATCTTGCATAATAATTGTATTTCTAATTTAATTAAACAGGTTTGTTACGCAGACTTTGGCAACACTGCCTGGGTTGGACCAAACCAGCTTCGTAGGATGTTGCCAATTTTTGCCAAGGAGCATCCGTTTGCCTACCGCTGTGTCCTGTATGACCTTGTCCCCGTTTCACCTTCCGACAGCTGGCCAGCCGAGGTCCTCGATTACATCCAAAAGCTGATTGTAAACCACAAGTGTGTCCTTGTGGTTGTTGAAGCTGATGATCGCTCACCCTTGAAGGTGAGGGTTGTATGTGTTAGTTTCTCCCAAAAGATAGGTTTATCAGAGGGGTGTTTGAAAGGTCGGTGATTCATGTTATGGGAGTTAGGGTAGTGATATGTGTGAATGTCGATAGGTGGGTGAATAGATATATAGACTGATGGGCAAAGTAGGTAAGTAGATAGAACAAACTTTATTTTCAAACGGTAATAATTTGGTACGTAGGCCCTTCGGATAGGTGGGTAGGTAGATGAATAGTTAGATTAGAACACACTTCACTTTCAAATGGTAATAATTTGGTACATAGGCCCATCAGATAGATCAGTAGGTAGATAGATGAATAGTTAGATTAGAACAAACTTTATTTTCAAAGGGTCATAATTTGGGTACAAAGGCCCATCTAAGATAGAATTGATAGATTAGACAGAAAGAATAGTATAGGTAGATTAGATGGATAGATAAAATAAGTAGATAGACAGATAGAAAAGATAAATAGAAAAGAAAGCTGTATAGATTATAATAAATTAGAGCAGATAAATTAAAATAGATAGGTTAGAATGGGTAGGCCTATCTAATAGGTAAGTAGGTAGGTAGCACATACACACCTAGATGTGTAGTTTGCCTCATTCTGTGAATGCCTTGGCCTGTTTGGTTTGGTTCACGAGTACATGTGATATAGAAATCCCTGCAGGTTTTTGCTGGAGCTCCGGTGTTTGTGTTTCGTGTGATGCTGTCAGCTAGCTGTTCTGTTGAGATTGGCCAAGCCATACAAGATTTAAAAAACCTAGTGCAAGGGAGTTAATCCTCTCAACTTTGTCACTTTCCTGACTAAATTTGATGATAGTTTAATTTCTGGGTATATCCCTTGGTAACAGATTTAACGGTCGTTGAATTCGTGACATATAAACTACAACCAGACAGCCTAACCAATAGTTTTCGAATTGAGCTTTATCTGGGAATTTGTATTATTTCAAGGTGGATGTGCTTTGAGCCATTAAAAGCAGTTTTTGTTATTGGAATTTTAATTTTTGTTACATGCACATAATCAGACTTTTTGTCATGTCTGATGATGAAAACCAGACCTTTAGTGATGATTTGGAATCTGCCAGCGAATTTAGAGTTTAAAATGTTTGTTCTTGGATAAATAGAGATACACAAGTGAATATTGTCATATCGCAACTGAAAGTAGTGACGATGATAGGCTTGATGACGGAGATAACGTGGGTACAACTGAAGAAAGAAATGGATGGGGCACAAGATACCAGAACATTTCTACAGATGCTGTTTGTCAACAGAGAAAGGCTGCTCCAAATTAACTTGCTAAGCTGGATAATCTTCCCCCATACGAATAATAACAAGGTGCCATGTCAGACACAGCTGGGTGTGTGTCGATTGATTTTTTGGGCCGCCATGATACTATGACTATCTGCATGTCTTCTTTTTTTATGTATCACAGCCTTAACTAATGGTGTCTGAGTGTTTCCAAACCCCACGCTCATTTTTAATTGTTTTAATGAATTTTATTAGAAAACCTCTCATTTTGAAAAAAAATCTCCAAACACCTTTGGTAATGGGAGAAAGTAGTGTACAGCATTGCTGGTTTGCAATGAGATAGGCCTTTATACATGTGTAGATAGATACACAAATAGTCACACACTTGGATATAGTCAGGCTGATATATTTCTGGTGGGAAAATATGGGAAGAGAGAGGAAGACAATGGAAGAACATTCTTGACAGTCTTTTGTCATGGCATGGAAGAGTGTTAGCAAATCCGCTTGAAACATGCTGTTGGAGATTGCAGGTTATGGAGAGGCATGATCACCATTTCCATTAGGCAAGGCACTTGATGATGGTCATGATATATTTCTATATAATCTACTTACTAATTACCTAGTCGCTCCTCTTCGACCTATGCATGGTTAATATAAATTTCTGTAATCTGTGGTGCCATTTTAATGGTTTGAGATTAATTCTGTCCGAATTCCATAGTTGTGGATTTCTGGGTGTATAATAGACATGGCCAATAAAAACACCTTTGGGGGGGGGGGGGGGGTTTTCCTTGTTGGTTGTGTATCTTAGTACACTTGTTTCCATAGTGAAGCGCAAATGCCATTCAATGGTTACAGGTTCGATTCCCTTACAGTAACTATAGATTTAGATTCCCTTACAGTAACTATAGATTTAGATTCCCTTACAGTAACTATATATTTAGATTCCCTTACAGTAACTATATATTTAGATTCCCTTTCAGTAACTATAGATTTAGATTTCTTCTATGAGTGCCGATCAACACAACTTCTGTTTTATATATAGATATATAGTTATATAGATATATAAAACTCTTCTACCTTGGGGTGGTTAGGTTTGCCAGAGAGATTGCCAGACTTCTCTATCATTCATTCATTCAGTAGCATGTCCCTCGCGGAACCTCGCTGCCATAACAAACCTCCGGAAAACCTTCCTATCCTGAGCAAGATGTCCTGCGTCTGATACACCCATCTGGAGATCATCTGCCACATCCTGCACCCATCTTCTCCTTGGCCTTCCTCTTCCTCTCTTCCCAGGCATATACCCCTCCATTATTGTTCTCTCTAGACTTCCATGACGTTTCAAGTGACCAAAATATTTCAATTTTCTTTGTTTTATTGTCTTTACTAGCCAACCCTCTTCAATATTCAGCTCTTGAAGTATGGATGCATTTGTTCTTTTCTTTACCCAAGATATTCTTAGAACCTATCTGTAACATTTATATTCAAATGCATTTATGCGCTGTTCCGCTTGTTTAGTAAGTGTCCAGGTCTCACAGGCGTATGTTGCAATGGGAAAGATGCATGCTCTTAAAAATCTGACCTTTGTAATTCTATCTGTACAATTCCATAATTTATTCAGTTGTTTTAGCAATTGATAGTCGCCGTTTAATTTCTTTCATTGTGTCACCATTGTTGGTAACCAGTGACCCAAGATATTCGAAATTTTCCACCACTTCCAATCTTTCCTCATTAACATATATTTCCTTCTCCATGGCAGTTTTGTTTGTATGCATTATCTTTGTTTTTGCTGTGTTAAGAAATGAGTTATGATTTTCACTATTTCTTTGGAGTGAGGTTAATAAGTTTTCTAAACCATTTTGTGATGTTGATAGTTATACTGTATCATCAGCATAACGAATTTCTGGTATTTCATGACCACCGATGTTTAGGGCATCATATTGTTCCTTGTTTATATCATCTCTTACATTTCTCATTATATTTTCGGCGTACAGGTTGAACAAATACGGTGACAGCACACATCCCTGACGGACTCCTTGCTTGATGCCAAACCAGTCTGATGTCTCTCCATCTATTCTGACTGCTGCTTGTTGGTCTTGATAGAGCATTTTAATGAGCTGCACTATATGTGATGGAAAGCCCATATTCCTCATGATTTCCCAAAGCTTCTGATGTTGTACACAGTCAAATGCTTTTGAATAATCCACAAAACATAAGAACAGATTTACATTAAATTCTCTACACTTCTCTATTATTAAACGCATGTTGAATATATGATCTCTTGTTCCTCTTCCCTGTCTAAATCCAGCCTGAGCTACATTAATCTCTTCTTCCATTTTCTTATGCAGTCTTCTCATTATAATTTTTAGTAGAATTTTACTTGCATGACTAATCAGGGCAATAGTTCGATAGTTTGTACATAATTTCAGGTCACCATTTTTTGGTATTGGAATGAAGATAGTTCTCTTCCAGTCTTTTGGCCAAATACCATATTTCCATATCTTTTCACATAATGCATGATAGATTTTTATGCTTTCTTCTCCTCCCGCTTTAATCAATTCAGCTGGTATCTCATCACATCCAGGTGATTTACCATTTTTCAGGCTCCTTATTGCCCATGAAATTTCAGCAGTTTTCATTTAGGCTTTGTTCAGTTCCGGTCTTCTGTCAGTCAGGGACTGTTAGATGTTGTCTTCCCAGTGAACCTTGGTGTTCTGGCTGAATGGTCTTAGCTTTCCGTGTTCTGTATAATCTGTGTGGAAAAATGTCTGCAAAATATTTTCCAAACGAACGTTGCCATGTGCGTAACATTTCTTCTTATTTGTATTCATTCACCAGCTGTAAACTCCGGCAGAAAGTTCTGGTTGTTCAGCAACCTCTGGACTTCACTCTTGTTCCAGAAATTGAGTTTTGCATGTACATTCGTTTTACAGATTTGGCTTATTTGTATGCAGACTGTTGGTCCCTCACCTCTCACTCTCCAACTTCAAAGGAAATACCACTAATTAGTCGACTGGGGGGCAGTGGGTCTGTTCCTTGTTTCTTCTACAGTGGGGTCTTGGAATCCACACAATATATTCTTCTTCAACATTCCGAGCCCTTGAGGTTGATTGCTGCAGATATCACCTGCATTCATCCGTCTGGTTGCCCATCTCTTTCCAGTTGCTGACACCAAGTGCTTGTAGGTCTAGTCTGTCTTGATGTTACATCTCCATCATCTTCTCGATCTTCCTCGTGGCTTATGGCGATTTAGCTCCCTTGTGTACACAGGTTTTACCTCACCGTCATCTTGCCCTTATGCCCCGGCCATTTCAGTCTATTCGCCCTCATGATGCCAGTTATCACTGGTAATTTAAACAGATTATGAATTTCGTTGTTGCTTTTCACTCTCCATTCCAGACTGTTAACATCTGTGATGGGTCTAGAGATTTGTTGTATGAAGCTTTTTTGAAAAAATATTTGTATAAGACTTTATCTCTTTTAGTTTTGCTGCAAGCTTCAGAGCCATATAAAACAACTGGTCTTACACAGGGATAGGAAACATTTAGTTTAGCTTGCACACAAAAACTTTGTTTTCATTTTACTTAAATCCAGGTTCAGCTGTTCAGAGATGATGTTAACCTGTGCGAAGACCTCATCAGCAAGAACATGGCCGTCAGTCCTCTTACCCTGAAGCGTTTCTCTGAACAGAGCACTTTGATTGGGGATGTGCTCTCTAGGCAGAACCCCTACCACCAACTGGATGTCGGAGA